AAAGCATGCTCTGCAGATTCGAAGAAAACATTAAAAAATACAGAACACTGATAGAACACACCCAAACCTCATTTTTAATTTAGGTTAGAAAATCCATGATATTAGTTTGAATGTCTGAGTAGCTTTAGACTAGGGTTAGGGTTAAATATTTAGTGAATGTTTTGGTTTAGATGAGTTTGTTTGAACCCACTGGTCTCATTTGAGGGATGTCTGAGCATAGAACAAGTTCTGTTTAATACAGAAATTAAAACTGCTAAAAAAAACTTCCAATAACATCTGGGATGTTGATTTTTATTCTCCTTCACTAACTAGCTAACTACAAACCTTTCCACTAACCTGTCCAGTGGGAACACTTTGGCTTTTATTATCTCCTCAGGTGCACCGACCGTCTCTCTGGTCAGGAGTGAATAAGGTGAACAAGTAAACCATCTACTGTAACTTAACGTAAACCAAAGCTTCCTCCCAGATTTTCTTTAGGTTGAGTTAAACGTCAATTTTTCATGATGAAACAAATAAAGATGAACAATAACTTCTACGAGGTAGAACAGCAGCACAATGTTTTATATTTCTCAAAGATTGCTCTCTCATTCAGAGGAGCTCACTCTCCTGAACTTCCATTTTCCATTTTCATCCGCTTATCCGGAGTCGGGTCGCGGGGGCAGTAGCCGAAGTCGAGAGGCCCAGACTTCCCTCTCCCCAGCCACTTGGGCCAGCTTCTCCGGGGGAATGCCGAGGCATTCCCTGGCCAGGTGAGAGACATAGTCCCTCCACCGTGTCCTGGGTCTACCTTTAGGTCTCCTCCCGGTTGGACGTGCCGGGAAAACCTCACCAGGGAGGCGTCCAGGAGGCATCCTGACCAGATGCTCGAGCCACCTCAACTGGCTCCTCTCGATGTGGAGGAGCAGCGGGTCTACTCCGAGCCCCTCCCGGATGACCGAGCTTCTCACCCTATCTCTAAGGGAGAGCCCAGCCACTCTTCAGAGAAAGCTCATTTCGGCCGCTTGTGTCCGCAATCTCGTTCTTTCGGTCACTACCCAAAGCTCATGACCATAGGTGAGGGTAGGAACGTAGATCGACCGGTAAATCAAGAGCTTCGCCTTCTGACTCAGCTCTCTCTTCACCACGACAGACCGGTACAAAGCCCGCATCACTGCAGATGCAGCACTAATCCACCTATCGAGCTCACGCTCCAGTTTTCCCTCACTCATGAACAGGACCCCGAGATACTTAAACTCCTCCACTTGGGGCAGGACCTCATCCCTGACCCGGAGAAGGCATTCTACCCTTTTACGAATCTAGACCATGGTCTCAGATTTAGAGGAGCTAAACTTCCACGTGTCCCTAAATAAAAGAGATGGATGATTACATCCTGACAGCCGCTCGACTCAACCTGGCCAATTTCCATAATTCATCGGCCCAAATCCGACTCAGTCTGTCAGAATTACTCCATCTGGGTTTGGTCCCAGGCTAAAACTCCAGCACTCAGCCCTGCAACACCACATAAAGGCGGACCGATATTTCGTACTTGCCAAATGTGTGGGAGGGACACATCCTACTTTTGATATGATGGATGTGGCGCCAGTGCCACCGTTAAAAAACTAACTATTACATTATGGTGTGCTTCTTCGATGATTTAAAATCATTTATGTCCGCATTTCAATGCATCGATTATTAGATTATCTTCCTCTGCTCTACTTTTTGCACACTTTCCGCGTTTGCAGGTTTGACAATAGCCTAATGGCTAAAAGTAGCCTTCATCACTGCAGTTGATCGAAGTGTGTGATTAACCGAAAGTGTGTGTTGTGTGTTTCAGATGCCCTCACCCGGTAACCTGGCACTTCATGAATAGGGCTGGGCTGATAATCAAAAAATCAATTAATCGTACGATAGAACTCTATTATTATTTATTATCGTTGTAGTGCAGTTTTGGTTGTTGACACTGGATAGGCCATTGTATTTATGGTTTTGGGTCTATTTTATTGCTTTTGGTGCAATATTTTCTAACAGAGAGTGAAAGTCTTTTTCTATTTGTTATTTTATTTTTTGTATGTTTCATTTATTTATTTAGAAGTTCTGGTTCTGGATATTCCAATGTTAAATACATGTTTAATTGTTACATTTTAAAGGCTGTACTTCCATTATTATGATATATTACCGTTATATAAGTGCTTATTTTGGTATCGACAATGTAGACAATAATTTTGTTTATCGTCAATAATTGTTGAACAATATGTCGTCCAGCAAAGTGTGTTATCATCTCAGGCCTAACGACGAAGGACTTGGTCTTTGGTCAGGCGGTACAAAAGGCTTCGTTATGCACTGGACCAGTCAGGAGGACTTGGGCATTGTAGAAGTGATCATGTAAATTAAAGTTAAAGGTGTGGAACACTGAAAAAAAATTTTTTAATTATTTTTTTATGTAATCGGTCACTCTTTTCAGGCAGGCTGAACATTAAAGTATTCTCCTACACCCATCTCCCAGAGGTTCCGGTGGAACGTTCCTAGACCAAGGTTTAAAAAGCAAGAACCTGGTCTAGTTCACCAGTGTGCCCCCCCCCCCCCCCCAGCTTACAAGGCATTAATTCCTATTAGAGACCACTGTGAATGGATTAATTTAACTCCTTTAAAACTTGAAACAAAGAAAACTTCCATGACCAATAACACCATTTATCAATGTTTTATTTGATGTTATTTTCACCCGAGTTTGTGCATCTTTTTTATTTGACTTGTTTATTTGGCACACTGCAGTTTGGTTTTGCAAAGCAACTCTTTTTAAGTTTTGTGGACGTTATGCATGGTTATGCTCAGGGTCTTTCCATTGCGAATGCCTTTTGGTGAAACTGTCAGCAAGGCGTTTGCATTTGCATTGTTACATTTTTATGTGGCTTTGACGCACATAAAACCGCTGCTTCAAGTCTCTTTCCAACGTATTTCTGTGATCCGATGCCACCATCTAGTGGCTGACAATCACATCACACAAACAGTTTCTCCTTTTGTTTTTTAAGATGGCGACTTCACGTTTCTAGTCTATAAATGTGCTTCTGTAGCCGACAAACAGCTAGAACACTTTGTTTTATTAGTATTATTCTCATGTCACGCTGTGTTGTCATATATTTATACTTTAAAGATTTGTCTGTGAAAAGTTCAACAACTCTGCATTAGCCAAAATATTCCTTAAATTTGAAGCATGTAAGCGGCAATCTAACGTTACTGGACGGACGGACACACACACACACAGAGAGAGAGAGGCTACACTCACATACCGGGTAAGCTAATGCGGGTGCACTGACACACACACATCTTGCTGTGAGATGACAATTTTGATAGTTTTACTAGAAAAACCAACAAATAAAACGTTTACCTCACATCCGGATGTTTACATCCTCTCACGCCACAAAAAAGATGGCCAAAAATGTCCGTTATGCAGAGCTGCAGCGGTAACAATATGCCACTGGTGCTCCGGTCTTGGGTCTTTCATGTGGATAAAACTTTTATAACGATGATTTTGTCCACATACTGGTCCCCAACGTCTTTATATGACGTATCTCTGTACATTCCACATCCTTTTTGGGATTTTATAATGTTTAACACTTTCTTTCACCCAAATGTGCTTCTTCTCTGCGACAGTACCGTTTGTTTCACGGTTTGTTTGCACTCGTCAAGCTGCCAACGTGTCCGCGCACATCCCAGAATGCTGTGCGTAATCACGTGTGAGTACAAGTCCTGTATGAACGTAGCTCTGCGGGGCAGGGGGCGTGCTTAGCAAAAATAAATACAAAGCATTATCACAGATATTTGAAAAATCATACACAATTTCTGAAAGGGAAATGCTCTGGAAATATACTTTAAAGGGGGACTGCACTCCATCAGAAAACGTAGCTCCACCCCTAGTCAAGATTTGAAAAATGCTACGAAAGTGGGCGTTGCCAGGAGGCACAGAGTGGCATGGCCAAGTGTGGGGGATCTCCATCCTGGGAGGGAGGGGGAGTGGGAAGAGACTGTACCAATGAAGTGAAATTGTACCAGCCCCATTCAATCACAAGTTTAAAATGCAGTAGCCACTGTTCAACCCACAGGGGGCAGCACTAAGATGTTTTTAGACCTAGATTCCAGATTTAATTAAGTTTACACAAACATGTCAAAAAATGCACAGAAACAGAAAGATTGCATTTGTAAAGACCCAATTATACAGTTTTTAAGCAAATTTTTTTTATTTTTGGGTTTAGTTACTCCTTAAGTGAGAATAAACAGATTTTTTTAAGTGTGCTAGTTCACTAAAATTAATGTTATCTTCGGCCTCTTGAGGTTTATTTCTGTCAATTAAGATATAAATGAAAATGCGTTGATCTGTAGTTGTGTTGACATTTCAATGCTGTTTCAATATTCTGGTTAACTGAAATACAATTGTAATGGTGTTGCTCTATAGCTAATAAATTGGTTCAATAATAAATGTGGGTAGAAAACTGAATCAACATTGAACTCTGATACTGACTGAATGATTGAACATTGACAGGCTAATGTGGATTGTCCATTGTCTCAATGTAAACCCTGGGTATGTGTAAACATAAAGAATGATGTTCTGTTACTGGTCCAAGCTGAGTCTCATCCCTGCAGAGAATGTTATTAACGTTGCGACATGATGAGCTTAGACCTCACAAGGGACCATGTTCACTGATTAGTCACTGATATGCAAAACAAAGATGCTTTCTTTCATTCTGTAGATAATACAATGAATATACTGTATTCCCTAAATCCATGTTAGTTAACTGTTTAATGTTGCCAATAATGTAAAACTTGTATTTATCTGAAGCAGTTTAACAATAGTTTTTATTCATTTTAGACGACACTTTGGTTAAATTATCCAAACTTTGTTTAATTTTCTGCGGAACGACCTTCATTATATCTGTCGTGTCATTGAGTTTGTTGCGAGTTCAACGACAAGCTAAATATGGTAATGAATAAATACGTTTGATCGTGAAAGTGGATGTTTTCTGACTCACCTGTAGCTCAGCGCATTTTCACGTGCAGCGTGGTCCCCACACACACACATACACACACACACACCTGCACACACACAGCTTCCGGTTCGCCCGGTTAGACCGAATGGATCGGATTCATCTGACGCAGATGAATCCAGGTTTCCTGAAGCGCCAGCTGCAACTCCTCTGAGCCGTAGAGACACACTGGTGCTCCAGCATTAAGCTCGACACCCACCGGGAATTCAGCTTCACCATTAAAATCACTGCTGTTCCGGTCGGCACCTTCAAAATAAAAGCCAAGCAGCCAGTTTTTTTTTTTTTATTATTATTATTTATTTCGCCTTTGACATGCTGGGGGGTATTCCACGTAGCGAGCTAATCCCAATATCCAGGTTTTCTTTGAAAATCCCAGTTTTACACTAGAATTTATCAATCCTGCACAACTCCTTTGAAAGGATCAATTTGGCGGTGATTTTAATCTACATATAGATAATCTTTCCGACCCTTTTTCAAAGGAGTTTTTAAATATTCTGAATTACACGGATTTTAGTCAACATGTCATGCAGCCAACTCACAACAGAGGACACACCCTGGACTTGGTCATCACCCATGGCCTGTCCACCAGGGTGTCCTCTGTTGTTGACTTGGCTGTCTCTGACCAGTACTGTGTGTGTTTTAGCATCACCACTTTTGGTAAGGATGCATCATCTCACCCCTGAAGTGGCTGCTGGTTTTCCTGAAGTTTTTAGAAAGACCCCTCCCACTCCGATAACTGCCTCATGTGATTTTACTGAAATCCGCTCTCGACCTGCTCGCTCCACTTAAAGTCACAAAAATCTACAATTCAAAATGTGCTTCACTGTAGAGAAATGAAAATCTAAAGAAACTAAAGAAAAACTGCAGGATCGCAGAGCGGAGAAAGTATAAAATAACTATAAATCATCAAATATATACAGAGCTACTTAAATCATATAATAACGCAGTAAGAAATTCAAGAAATGCATTTCCAAACTCATTGTAGACAATAAACACAATCCCAGAATACTTTTTTCCACCATAAACCACATTTTAAACCGTACGTCCAATTCACTTCAGAAAAACCCCCCTCAGATGCTCTCTGTGAGGAGTTTGCAGCCCACTTCAGAGGGAAGGTAGACACCATCAGAAAGAATACTTTATCCTCCATAAGTAATAAGGTTTTAGATAAATCTGAATGTGTGTCTATACCAGAGGAAACACTGGACAGGTTTGTCCTGGTAGAAGCTGAGACTCTTGATGAAGTTTTCTCCTCAGTGAGACCCACCACATGTGTTCTGGACCAGATTCCAACTTTGTTTTTTAAACTTTTAGAGATGAGATTCTAACCATGATGAATTGCCACCTTCAGTCAGGGGTCTTTCCTGCTGCCTTTAAAGGGGCGGTGGTGAGGCCCCTGTGAAGAAGAGCAATATAGATTTTAATGAATTGAACAATTATTCACCAGTATCTAACTTACCATTTGTAGTCAAAATTTTAGAAATTTGGTTTTAAATCAACTAAATGATTTTATAAACACTCATAATGTCCTAGAGAAATTTCAGTCTGGTTTTAGGGTGAACCACAGCACAGAGAAGGCTGTTTTGAACATTTTGAATGATTTTAGATTGAATTATGATAAACGGAAGGTGACAGTGTTGGTTCTACTGGATCTAAGTGCAGCCTTCGATACAGTAGACCACACTATTCTTTTAAATCGTTTAAAACAGATCGGCCTCTCTGGTGCTGTCCACAGATGGTTCACATCCTACCTCACAGACAGGACTTTTATGGTGAGTTTAGATACCTGTTCCTCTAGGGTCCATGGGATTACATGTGATGTGCCCCAGGGCTCAATTTTAGGCCCAGTGCTTTTTAACCTTTATATGCTCCGTCTTGGCAGTGTCATTAGGAGACATGGAAACAATTTTCAGTTATGCTGATGATACACAGTTGTGCATCCCCGTGTCTCCTGATGACTCTTGGCCAATGGATGCACTTTTTAACTGTATTTTAGACATCAAATCCTGGATGGCAGAGAACTTTCTCCAGCTCAACCAGGACAAAACTAAAGTTTTAGTCATTGGTCCTGAGGCCCAGAGAAAGAAACTTATCGAAATTACAATCTTTGTCTTTTAATCCTTCTGAGTGTAGGAGTTGGTAAATTGAGTGCTTTAAGAGCTTAATATACTACCTTTACTTATGACCAATAAGCTGTGATACTCTATATAAATATAGAATATCAACCTACTTGGTCTTTGGATGTTTAATCAGAAGGTTCTATGATTCTTTGTTTATTCAGGGATTGTTGAACACCGTCTTGATTCAGGAAAGAGTCAGGTTTATAAAAAGTAAGAATTAATTTTCCAAACAATTAAAACATGACAAGTTAACTAATATTTACTGTGATGGATGGATCTAGGTGGGTGAGATGTGATGTATGGTGCCTATGTGTGAATATGATGAGAAGAGCTGAGTTCTGGGTGTAAAAGGGAAAGAATTTGGTTTGCGTTAAGCTATGAAGTTGATTCTTATCAACAATACAACAAGATCAAGCTATCACTGCATCAACTTGATGAAGAAATATATAATCAACATTGTTTAACTGAACAATCACACGATAATAAATCACAGTGCATTAAGTGCCCACCATAGCCTTAAGACCTGTGGTTAACATGCCCAAGTCCATACTTATGAGAGCACCATGTGAGCACCTGTGTGTGTACATGCGCTTGTTTATGTAAGGTTTCTCTATAGGAGCGTCCAATAGGGAGTGTGAGGGGCCACAGATCTGCCCCCTAAAGATGTGCAGGAGACGGAGGGAGCTCCATGTCCCAGAGATCCAGGAGCTGCCCCAGAGCACAGGAACTCCAGGGAGACTGCGACCAGAAAAGCCCCCGCTCCCCTCGAGAGGCACAGAGGATCGCCCCGGGGGGCCACAACCATCAGCTGGCAGAGTCCCGGGAGATATCGGCGGCAAGCCCACAGGCCCGCCCGCAGACTCCCACCCCCTAGCCGGCCGAGCCCGAGCCCGGGACCCAATGACCCGGGACCCAGGGGCGACCACCCCCGCCGGGGACCCAGCAGAGCCCAGGGACCCAGATCCCACCAGGCAGCCACTGGTATTGGTCAGGCAGATGCCAAAAATCTTAAACTCCCTGACCCGGGAGCCACAACCCAGGCAGACCTTGGCACCGCACTCCACACCAGGTGTGACAGGGAGAAGGGAGACGAAGATCTATATCATCAAAAGAAGTCCCAGGAGAAGGGAGGAGTCAAAGGCCCCACCTGACATATATAGTCATACACAGACACAGTCACACACTCCCTCCCTCATGCTCACACATGCAAATACAACCAAAGACTTATAAAAATGCATGCCAGACACCCACTCATGCTCCCCATCCACACCCTATTCACTCTGGTCCCGGTACTGCTGCACATGGGGTACAACCATCACCGGTCCCCAGAGTTTGACCGTTTCTGCTGGGATGCTGATGAGCAGGCTCCCCCACCCAACCCTGAGCACAGCAACCCACCACCCCAGACCCCAACCAGACGGCCAGATCTCCCTCCTAGCCTCCAGCCCCAGGAAGCCAAGCAACAACAGAGGTGTGCTAAGACCCCTAGTCTCCCTCCGCCTGCTCCAATATGGTGTTAGTACGTGTTGATGAGGTGTGTTCCATGGCTTTGGTGAGCGGGAAGTACGGGCAGTACGGGCATCGTCTGGCCTATGCCAGCTGATGCCACCACACTACCCCACTTGCACCCACAGCCCTCAGTGTCTAAGTGCAGTTTAAAATTGGAAGTGGGCACCGGCACTTGGGATGAGGCTGAAAGATCCCCTTGCCAAATGCCGATGGATGTGCTCACTCCCAAGGCCCTAAGTGTGTGTTTGTGTGGAATGTCGTCGGTGGAAGTGTTTAAGGTGCAAATAAAATTGGGGGCAGGTTGCCACAGGAATGCGGAAATGGGGTCCATACCCGGACTCCCTGACTTGACCACCCCCCAAGGTCCTATGTGTATGTTTGTGTGATGATGTGAGGGAGCAGGAGGAGAGAAATGTGTGGGGATGGGGAGGAATGGCTGGATGGGCTTAGCCCTCCAGGGAGCCAGCTCCCCCACTGGCCCCAATAGGCACCTCTGTTGTCAAAATGCCACCCAGGGCATGGAGACCCCAGCCCATCCTGCCAGGGCCCAAAGCAGCAGCATCACAGAGCCTCACGGAGTCCAAGGGCACCAACACAGCCCCACCCCAGCAGAATATCTACGCCCATCCCTGCATTTGCACGACTTCCTGATTATAAAAGACATAGAACATCCAGGTAAGGTTGGATCCTCCCCCTCCTGGACTTCCCCCTCCCCTGTGATGGGACAGCAGAGGAGCCAAGGTCTACCCGAGGCCCCTGAAACCGAGTCAGGCACTGCTGCATGTTCCTGCCTTCTCCCCAGCAGCATACATGTCAGGACCCGACCCCCAAGGCCCCGCCCAAATCCCCCCACGGGACCGGCCACCCCCACACCCCGAGCCCCCCACCCAGACCCGCCCAGGGGCAATGCAGCTGCCGGGCAGTGACCCATGGCCACCGCCAAGACCCCCAAGGGGCCCTACTCACAACATTTATACTGAACCAAGTGATTATTTATGATGATTATAATAAACCTCAATAAAGTCAGAGTTTATTAAATTATTATTTAAATTATTATCGTGAACTTGAAGTGTCCTTCTTCTGGGACGGAACAGCAGCAGATAAAGGATGGTATTCTTCAGACATCAGGGCTCCTGGGTTAATCTGTGGAACCAAAAGTCACAGTCTGACCCAGCTTGACCTAGCTGGGAAAATGTGACCTTTGTCACAAATTAGAGGACCTTCATGATGCTACATAATACTTTTGAATGTTTTTAATGTTTTTGAGTCCAGGCTCAAGACCCACCTATTTAGGTTAGCTTTTATGTAATTATTTACTATAGTTTTATTTCTTGTTTTACATGATTGTATTTTATTACTGGCTTTGCATGTTTTATATGATTTTAGCCCAGTTTCATTATTTAATAATGTTATTATTTTACTGTCCATATGATTTGATTTATTATTCATTTTCTTACTTTTATGATTTAAATGAAAACTCTTTTATTTTTATATTTTTACTCATTTCAATCCACTGTTTTGTTTGTGGGGGCCCTCTGCCCCAGGGGCGGTGGCTGACTGTTGCTGCCTGGACACTCTACAGGTAGTGTTTGAGTGTTGGTGGGGGTCTATGCTCCTCCTCTGAGTGGCCAAGGGGGAAAACCGGCCTGACTGAGGCCCTGTCCAAGGTCCTGAACTGGAAAGGGAGCAGAGCTGGGACTTTCAGGGAATGAGTCCACCATCCGTAACATGCGTTTAACATAACACTGCTTGGCCATTCAGCTCCGTGCCGACACCGTCAACAACAGCAGACTTGGGGATCTTTCACCGCGGTGGACCAGTGAACCCGTTATCCTTGGTCAGCTTACCTAGTCATGATTTTATTTCTAAGCAGGCCGGAGGAGCCTTCACTTTGGAGTTGCTGCTACATTCTTCTGGCTAAAAATACCCAGAAAAACTCCATTAGCTTTGTGTTAGCAAGTAGCTAATACCCCACTGATCTCCGACCGTGGAGCATGAGCAGTTGTTCCAACCGTAACAGCCCCACCCTCAGCTCTACCTCTTTTCCCTTTTTTGGTTTGCCTGAGCATGGTGAGACGTGTGACACAGTCAAAAGGGCGGTGGTGGGAACCTCCCATTTGAAAACAAAATCTTGTAATTAGAGCAAATTAAATGTCCTGTGTGTACATATATATATATATATATATATATATATATATATATATATATATATATATATATATATATGTCGATGATTAACAATCAGAGTTCTCCATCCTCTCCGCTCAAAAGAAGTCCTGGTACACCAGGGATGTCCAGACGAAATTAAAACCCCTCAAGGGCTACAAAACATATACCTTTTTAAATCTAATTGATTTTTCTGCTCAAAAAGGGCCTAAAATAGATATATTAGTAAACATTTGAACATACAAAATTTAATGAATTTATATCAACAATCTCCTGGACAGACTTAAGTCTACAAATCTAAAAAATGCTAGTGCAGACCGCAAAAGGCCCCTCAGGCTGCACTTTGGACACACCTATGGCGCATTGAGAGTCCATGTAAATAATTTAATATAGGTTGAAACAGTTTTTTAGGGGGCTCCCCCTGGGTGTGTCAGTTTAGGGCTTCTAGGAGAGCCGGGCGTCCCTTAGCTCCCCTGTAATTCGAACCCTGATTGGAACGTAGATTGACCCGTAAATCGAGAGCTTTGCCTTCCAGCTCAGCTCTCTCTTCACCATGACGGACTGGTACGACGCCCGCATCACTGCAGATGCAGCACCAATCTGTCCATCGATCTCCTGCACAATCTTTCTCTCACTCAAGAACAAGATATGGGCATACTTACCATGTCCCTGACCTGGAGAAAGCATTCTACTCCATTCTGACTCAAGACCACAGTCTCAGCTTTAGACAATGTTCTCAGCTGCTTCACAGCTCATCCCATAATACTGTATTACAGAAAGCGGAATCACGTCAGTTCAAAAGCAAACAATGTTTTTTTAGAGCACTATAAGCAGTTCTTTAAGTGGGCCGGTATGCACCGGTACGCAGTACAGGCACTTCCCATTTTCCTCTCAGCGTACCAGGACTTTTTTTCTAGGGTACAGAGAGTCTTGGTAGTGTTTCCACTCGATTTTTATTTGAAATCTCTGAGACTTCTGAAAAACATTATCTGTTCGTCTTCTAGTAAACACCAACCACGCACAGCCCCACCAGCGCTGCAGCGAAACAGAAATATAGATCGTGAATGTGCTTCACTTGAAAGTGAGATTGTTGTTAGAAACAAATGGAAAATATTGTAGGCAGAAATTATGAGCCAGAGGATGATTCTGTCTGGATGTGGACTGGAGATGTAATTTTACAGCAGCCCTCATGATTGTTTAAATGACCATTAAGTACATTAATTTCATTTTGTAATTTCCCATTTGGACCAAAACAAATCTTAATCTTCTTGAATGATGGATTTCTGGTTGTAACTGGGTTAGGGTTAGGTCAACCCAGTTACAGCTGCTTCTATTGAGTGAACACATGTGGACTACTGAGACCTTCAGTGTTGCGGTTCCCCCGTTCTACCACTAGATGCTGTTCCTACGCATGGTCTGAAGTTTTCTCATGTTTAGGAACAGAACAGGTACAAAACGATGAACACCACACAAAGTGTCAATTTGCTCCTACACACGATATACGCTCAGATCTTTTCGTAAGTACGGTTGATGCATGAGGCCCCAGGTGTACATGTTTCATCCTCTTTATGCATTATGCGTATTATCTTGTGTTTATGAAGATAATTTTAAGTCTCACCTTTGTTTTAGGAAGAGTTGGATGTGTTTTATTCACAACTCTTAAACACTTATTACCCAGAACATTTTCGGGGTTCTTTAGGTCGCTGATCGTAGAAACGCGACTTTACAGGAACAAAGGAGCAAGAGACAGAATATATAGATATTTATTCACGTCTTAGCTCATGCAAAGATACAGCTCCTGTAAACAAAATCATGTCAGATAAATGTGTAGATTCCTTCTTTCCTTGTGTGAAACAATGGGATGTATAATATGTGGAAGTTAGGGCTCAAAGCAAACGCTACACAAAGCCACGATCCCCCTGCAAAACATTTTGCTCCCTCTTCTCAGCAAACTGATCGAATCTTCTCCAGCTTAGCTTAGAGAAAACAAAAATCCTCCGACAAAAGTCGGTCATTCTGGGCCCTCAAAGCAATCTGGAGCTCAGAATCAGCAAATAAATTCTGAAGTAAGCGATGTGAAATTACATTTAAGACATCTGTGATTGATAAGTACAACCAGGAGAACAATTCCACAGATACACAATTAAAACATTTGATTTGGAAAAGAACCCCCTTCCACTGAGAATCTAAACGTCTTCAGCTCACACGGCCTTCATGTTGGATCGGAACATTTCACAGCAAATGATTTGTGTTAGACTTCCAAATAATCTCCCATTTAGCTTAAAAACAGCAGTTTCAACGGTTTAGTGAATACAGCCGACGCTGGCTTTGTGGGGATTTGGCGTCAGAAAGGTCAAATAAGAACCTTTACTTTAAAAATTAGGATAATTATTAATGTTTAAAGTAGTTTAGGTCTTCTCTAAATCAAATGCGTGCTTGGATGAAGAATTGAGTGCAGAATGAATCCCTAAATGTTACTCAAGCCAGTATCTCAATGGCCTGAGTAACATTAGCAACTTGACAATTTTCCATTAGAATTAAAATGAATTGGTCGTCGTCGTCTTCCTCCGCTTATCCGGGTCCGGGTCGCGGGAGCAGCATCCCAACTAGGGAGCTCCAGACCGTCCTCTCCCCGGCCACCTCCACCAGCTCCTCCGGCAGGACCCCAAGGCGTTCCCGGACCAGATTGGAGATGTAACTTCTCCAACGTGTCCTGGGTCAACCCGGGGGCCTCCTGCCAGCAGGACATGCCCGAAACACCTCCCCGGGGTTAGGGTTAGGAGGCATCCTGACCAGATGCCCAAACCACCTCAACAAACTCCTTTCGACCCAGAGGAGCAGCGGTTCTACTCCGAGGCCCTCCCAAATGTCCGAGCTCCTCACCCTATCTCGATGGCTGAGCCCGGCCACCCTACGGAGGAAACTCATTTCGGCCGCTTGTATCCGCGATCTCGTTCTTTCGGTCATTACCCAAAGCTCATGACCATAGGTGAGGATTGGGACGTAGATCGACCGGTAAATCGAGAGCCTGGCTTTCTGGCTCAGCTCCCTCTTCACCTCGACAGATCGGCTCAGCGTCCGCATCACTGTAGACGCCGAACCAATCCGCCTGTCGATCTACCGATCCCTCCTACCCTCACTCGTGAACAAGACCTCGAGATACTTAAACTCCTCCACTTAAGGTAGGACCTCTCCTCCGACCCGGAGTTGGCAAGCCACCCTATCCGATCGAGAACCATGGTCTCAGATTTGGAGGTGCTGATACTCATCCCAGCCGCTTCACACTCGGCCGCGAACCTATCCAGCAAGAGCTGAAGGTCAGAGCTGGATGAAGCTAGAAGGACCACATCATCCGCAAAAAGCAGAGACGAGATTCTCCTGCCACCAAACTCGACACACTCCACACCACGGCTGCGCCTAGAAATTCTGTCCATAAAGGTAATGAACAGAACCGGTGACAAAGGGCAGCCCTGGCGTAGTCCAACCCTCACCGGGAACAGGTCCGACTTACTACCAGCTATGTGGACCAAACTTACGCTCCTCTGGTAAAGGGACTGAACGGCCCTTAACAGAAAGCCACCCACCCCATACTCCTGAAGCGTCCCCCACAGGGTGCCCCTGGGGACACGGTCATAAGCCTTCTCCAAATCCATAAAACACATGTGGATTGGTTGGGCAAACTCCCATGCCCCCTCCATCACCCTTGCAAGGGTATAGAGCTGGTCCACAGTTCCACGGCCAGGACGAAAACCACATTGCTCCTCCTCAATCTGAGATTCAACTATAGATCGGACCCTCCCTCCAGTACCTTGGCGTAGACCTTTCCAGGGAGGCTGAGGAGTGTGATCCCCCTATAGTTGGAACACACCCTCAGGTCACCCTTCTTAAAGATGGGGACCGCCACCCCGGTCTGCCACTCCACAGGAACTGCCCCCGATGACCACGCAATGTTGCAGAGACGTGTCAACCATGACAGCCCTACAACATCCATAGCCTTGAGATACCCAGGACGAACCTCATCCGCCCCGGGGGCCCTGCCGCTGTGTAGTTGTTTGACTACCTCAGCAACTTCTGCCCCCGAGATTGGACAGTCCATCCCCAGGCCTCCCAGCTCTGGTTCCTCCTCGGAATGCGCGTAGGTGGGATTGAGGAGCTCTTCAAAGTATTCCTTCCACCGTCCAAATATAGCTCCAGTTGACGTCAGCAGCTCCCCATCCCCACTGTAAACAGTGTGAGCGAGTTGCTGCCTTCCTCTCCTGAGGCGCTGGACAGTTTGCCAGAACCTCTTTGGAGCCGATCGATAGTCTTTCTCCATGGCCTCACCAAACTCCTCCCACACCCGAGATTTAGCCTCGGCAACTGCCACTGCTGCACCTCGCTTGGCTAACTGAATTGGTCTGCAGTCAAATTCTGCGTTTGCTAAAACTTCAAATAAAATGTGTAAAATTTCTTGTTTAATTTTAATCTGAAATTATTAGCAACTTAAGCTCTTCTACTCAACAAAGTGTGGTTGCCATCTGCTCCAAAAATCCATCACATTCCTCAAAGATCTTAGTTGAGGGGAGCTACACTGAAAAGTGGGGACTCACATCGACTTTGTGAAGATCAGGATAAGAAACAGAACCCTGGGAAGTGCCTGACTGAAACAACGGAGTTGGAGTTGGACGTCCTGTTTCAGAAATGTAAATGGTAAACTTTTCAGAAGCAAGATTTTGTTTTTATCCCAAAAGAAGAAAAAAAAAACATCTAAGGTCAACACCAACACGTACAAACACGTTTAAACCCATAAGTGATCCACCGCTTTAAAAATACTCAATGAATTATGTTTGTGCTGAAGTCTCCTAGTGTTGAAGATCCCTGGTCCAGCATCAAGACCTCTAAAACCAAGCGTGTCCTGGACCGTCTGAACTGCTGATTCAGCTCCAGAGAGTTGGGGTCAGTCTTTTCGTGTTTGAACAGTCAATGCCACCAAAACCTCATACAGGATGATTTCATCACAAGTTTATTTAACGTATTGCTGCTTCATGGTTTGCTTACAGGTAGGCTCCTTGGATCATGTCATAACCCTGAATCAGAAATGGATTAGAGGAGCAGGGGTGAAGAGCAGGGCAGAGGCCACGCTGAAGAGAGATGATTGTAACGAGCCCCCCCCCCCCCCCCCCATACACACACATCATTAGGACTGTGTGTTAGCTCTCTGGGCACATTCCTACTTATTGTCATGTCAGTAGATTTAAAAATATAGATATTCATCATCATGCTGTACAAATTCCAGATCCCATTAGATACATTTAATAGATTTGTCTTTAGTTTTTAAACAGGCACCATAGTGTTACCCTGAACAGGAATGTTAGAAAACATATAAAAAACTAATCAAAGCAGCTATGAAGAGGCAGCCGCAACAACAATCAAATACATCCCAGAACACAAATCATCATCTTACAGTCTTGTAGGGTTTAAAATCAAACATCTGTGCTTCATAAAATCATGAGTGGAAGTTAGGTGAGGAAAACCAGCACCCGCTGCTTTGCTCAAAGTCAGTAGTACTGAGAGTGATCCTTGTCCCGGAGGACCAGAAAAACACCCGCGTGAAGGGCAGAAGGCAGGAGAGCCAGAGCCTTCCGCCACAGGAGCTCAGTAAGGCCTCAGTTTGTTGGCTTTTACGTTGGCAACATTTTTAAACAGATGAGAGAAACATTCATCTGTAACTAAATACACTTAGCTTTAAAATAAAATGTGTGCAAAATGTAAATCTTACAAATATAGAAAGTTTCTTCTCATAGATTGCTGAAGGGTTGTAGTGAGGGTGGTTTGTGAGTCACCACCTAGTCCTCCTAGTCAGTTCAACCACCCGCCCATGGCCCTTCTCATCCACTCCAAATGGACTGGGGGCTGACTGGCCTTGAGGCTTGCTGTAGACTAGGCTCCATGCTTCACGTTAAGTGGATGGTCCGCTTTAGATCCTCTACCTCCATCTGTGGCAACACAAGCAGAAAATGATAAGTACAAAGGGCAGAATCAGACTCGGAGCGGTTTGCAAATAGACTGGGACCACAACTAGCCTAGCAACAGCTCTCAGCTTTAACCACGATAAGCTTTGCTGTACCAACCCTATGTAAAAGTTCAGTAGAAGACCCACTTACTAAACAGTGGTACACTCATTTCAAATGTAATTACATGTAATCTGAGAGTTTATATGAAAATGGGGACATGTTGATTAAGACCTATAACTAGAATATTTTATGACTTTTTAAGACCCATTCAGCAAAGACTATTCTGCTTAAAACACCAAGAACACCAGGAACCATGAAGTTTTTGTTTTCTTCTCTGAACTATCCGTTGTCCTGCTGACATATTTCTCCTTGCTGAAGCAGTCGGTAAACGAGGTATCCTGCTGTTTTCAGTCTTTTGGAATGTCAATAATGGCAAGAGCACTAGAACCTGGTAAGTTGTCCTAGATAGCTTTGCTCCTGTTTCTTTGCCTGAGTTAACCAAACTAGTTAACTCTATGAAGACCTCTGCATGCCCCCTCCACATCTTACCCTCATCTTTGTTTAAAAGTGCTTTTCAGTCCATCGGTCCCAGCGTGCTCTCTATAATTAATGCTTCTCTGGTCTCTGGTCAGGTCCCTGCTTACTTTAAGAACGCTGTAATCCACCCGCTTCTTAAAAAAACGAGTCTCAACCCCTCTCTCCATAGCAGCTTCAGACCCATCTCTAAACTTCCGTTCATCTCCAAGATCTTGGAAAAGGTTGTGGCTAAACAACTCACAGCTGCTCTTGATGAACATAACATCTATGATAGCTTCCAGCCAGGTTTTCGTAGAGCTCATTCTACTGAAACAGCTCTTCTTAGGGTCTCTAATGACCTTCTGACTCACAGTGATGCAGGGGACTGTTCTGTTCTGGTCCTGCTGGACCTGACTGCAGCCTTCGACACTGATGACCATCACCTGCTACTGGAGAGGCTGAGAGACTGGGTAGGCCTATCAGGATCTGCTCTGGAGTTGTTCTCTTCTTCTTTCTCTGTGGCCGTCCTTCACCACCTCCCTTACCCATGGTGTCCCACAAGGTTCTGTGCTGGGGTCTCTGCTCTTCCTCTTCTATCTGCTCCCTCTTCAGCACATCCTGAGCTCCTATAAAGGAATCTCCTACCATCTTTATGCAGATGACATCCAACTGTACACCTCCTGTAAGCCCCATGAGATGTCTAAGCTGCAGCTGTTACACACCTGCTTAGACTCCATTAAAACCTGGATGGTGGGAGCTTTCTTCAGCTGAATGAAGATAAGACAAGCTGGTTCCCAAAGTCAGATTCTGTAGGTCAGCTTTCTTCTCACACCAAACCCTCTGTCAGGAACCTTGGTGTGACCTTTAACCCTCCCACTGTCCTAATGGGTGTGACCCGGCGAGGAGAGTTGACCATTGAGCAGGATTGATGGTTCATCCCTTGGGTCCATGTGGCAGGAGTGAGGAGTGAGCACCACCTCACCCCTGCTACCTGGACCTCAAGGGATAAACCATCAATCCTGCTCCATGGTCAACTTTCCTTGCGGGGTCACACATAAAGACAGTGTGAGGGTTAACTCATGGCCTTACATGGACAAGCACCATCTTACATAGGTGATCTTCTCAGTCGCTACACCCCCAGCAGGTCCCTGAGGTCCAGTGATCAAAGCCTACTCGTTGTGCAGCACCAGGCTAAAGACCAAAGGTGACAGATCATCTGCTGCTGTGGCCCCCAGACTCTGGAACTCTCTCCCCCTGAGCCTGAGATCAGTGGACTCAGTGGTCTCCTTTAAAAAGCAGCTGAAAACTCACCTGTCCAGGCTTTTGCATGACCTCCATCACCACCCTCTCCTGTTTCAGATCTTTCTACCAAATCTGACTTTCCCCGGATCCACGGACTACCTTTCTTATTCATTTTCTCTTTTCCTTTCCATACAATTTTTTTTATCACAATTCTTTTCTACATAATTTAAAAAATCGTTCTCATTTTTCTTGTGAAGCACCTGGTGCTTCTATCTTGAGAGGCACTATATAAAAGATCTTTCTTCTTTTTGAAGTTATAAATGCCTCTGACAAACATTCAGATGGCTCACACTTTAGAGATTATAGCATGCAAAATCAACTTTTTGGAGCCTGTGACCATGTTACATAGTCAGTCCCTCATGAAAAATATCCCACAAGTTGTTTTTGGCCTCATGCATGCATTTTCCTCTCTCAGCTGCATCTTCCTTTTAGTACTACTAAGCTATTGCAAAAGTCTGAATGGGGCATGGTTGCATCACCATGTCTCACTTCTCCCCTTCCAGGTTGTGCTGAATGCAGATTCCTCCTCCGCTGGACTGTAAACAGTCACACCCAGTCTCTCCAAGTAGCTAGCAGGGAGTTTAATCTCCAGGGATTTAATTCTCAATTATTCTGCACTCTGCACTCACCGAGTAAGACATGGCGGCCACTGGGAAAAGTCGTGGTGCGTCTGTTAACTGCAGCTGGTGTGTTATTAAAGCTGCTTTGCTGGTTGATCTAATCTTACGTATGAAATGAGTGGAATTCATGGCGATTCCAAGAATCTGGTTTCACGATTGAAGGACTGGCCAACGGAAATAACATTTTGGACAAAAAATACGTCTTAGTAGTGCCAATGATATTAGTTGGTCATATACTGTGCCCTTTAACAGCTGTGCCTGCTTCTGAGTGATGGACTCTGGACCAAGGTCTGAGAACGCTTCGAAGCAGGAGTTCTCAAACCTTTGGGGACCAGAGACCTCTAACGAGGGTAACATGTTTTCAAGGACCCTGTGATGGTTCATGGTTTTTCCAGCCAAGTCTAAGAAACTACACCTAAAAATACTTTTTAAGAAACAATGTGTAGTTTTTTACTGTTAATCTCAGGAAATATCCATCGAAATGTTGTTGGAAAGGAATGAAATGATGCCCAGTTGTTGAAAAATACGGGCGGCTTCGTAATGTATAATCATAAAATTCAGGTTTAAGATACATGGGAGCTGGTCCAAGTTTCTGGGCGACGCCACATTAGATGCCATGTTTCCTTCTATGGGAGCCTGTGAGGACAAAATGCATTTACTGATTTGTAACAAGCGGTTACAAAACTTTCCGCATTCATAAACGTTATTTTACACATTTACGCTTCACTCGCTGCCAGTTATGAAAAGGAGTCTAATGTGCTTGTCATTTTGCCTGAGGTTGCACACCAGAGGGTTTTTTACCCTAATGGCCATCCGTTGGTAAGGTCTTACTTGAAAAAAGTACAGCTTGCTTGCAGTGATTTAGGTATGTACTCCCCCATCACCAGGGAAAATACACATTGTCACTTTAACCCTCCCACTGTCTTTATGGGTGACCCCGCGAGGAAAGTTGACCATTGAGCAGGATTGATGGCTTCTCCCTTGAGGTCCATGTGCCAGGGGTGAGGTGGTGCTCACTCCTCACCCCTGCCACGTGGACCTCAAGGGATAAACCATCAACCCTGCTCAATGGTCAACTTTCCTCACGGGGTCACACCCATTAGGACAGTGGGAGGGTTAATAAATATAATGACTATTAGGGATGCACCGAACATTCGGCCATCAAACCTTTTTGGCCGAAACATCTAAATGACCAAAACAACACAGCAAAATAGGCCATCAGGTGATCCCCGTTTTCATTTAATCTCACCCCACCCTCATGTGGCTACTTGCTCTTAGCTTCATAAAGTTTTTCCCCTTTTAGTAATGCTGTTTTATTACGATCATTGTTTTAATTCGGGACTAGTTTGTTTTGAGCGTAATGAAAAAGTAGTGAAGTGTTGGATAAATTATGGATACATTATTTATTATTTTATTTTTATTTTATTAATTATTTTATTATTTTTTAAACAAAAGCTTCATCCAATTCATTTTACCCTGGCAACAGACAGGCGTTTGACCTTGCCTCTTTCCAGTCCTGGCTTATCAGTAAGAACGCCCTGTGCCAGCGCCTGCTTTTCCATCTCGCCTAGCAACGCCGTCGCTCTCAAAGTTTTTAAGTCATTAGCTCCCAAAAGTTACGGTAAAACTCAGTGGCAACTCCGTTTGTTTTTGTTAGACCTTCTACGTCAAACCGGAAGTGGGTTTGGTCCAGTAAAGTTTTCACAGTAAGAGTCAAACTAATTTGGAGCAGTTTTTCTGATTCAGCATCGGTTTAGATCATTTAGACTCGCGCTCTGAATTCCACATTTTCAGTGCAGCTGAAGTGAAGGAACCTTAAAGTCAAGCCACTCCCGGAGAACCAGATTCTCCTGAGCACACGGAAGACTACGTTGACCAACTCGGGGTCCAAAAATCGTATAGTCCCAGAAGGCTTCACACAAGCGATCGATTTTGGCCCCACTACTATTCTCCCTATATCTCCTACCTCTGGGTGACCTATTCCGCAAGCATGACGTGTCATTCCATCTATATGCTGACGATTGCCAGGTCATTTTCCCAATTAGGCGTGGTGGTTTATGCACCATTCAACCTTTGTTGGACTGCCTGGAGGACATCAAGCTATGGTTGGCTCAGAACTACTTGTGTTTCAACAAAAACAAGACTGAAGTAATTCTTTTTACTCCACCAAAGACCCTAGGAGGTGCCCAAGGGCTTGATTTTTCCACACTGGCACCGCATCAGAAGGCGGTGGTCACTAACCTAGGGGTAAAGTTGGACGTAGAGCTCAGATTTGAGGCTCATGTGAACGGAATCGTGAGATCTTGCTTCTTTCATCTACACCGTATAGCGAAAATTAAGCCATTTCTGTCACGTAGTCATATGGAAACTGTGATCCATGCCTTTGTTACCTGCAGGCTGGATTATTGCAACTCATTATATGCGGGGCTTAGGCAAGCTCCAATAGCACGCCACCAGGCGGTTCAGAACTCGGCTGCTCGGTTGTTAACATCTACCAGGAGGTCTGAACATATTACACCGGTCCTACGTGCCTTGCTTTGGCTCCCTGTCTCCTATCACATCAGGTTTAAGGTAACCCTGTTTGTGTTTAAGGCGTTAAACTCAGGGGCACCTAGATACCTTTCTGACATCATCCACCGACATGTCCCGGTGCGTTCCCTTAGGTCAGCTGACCAGAGACTACCAACCATGCCCAGGTACAGCCTGAAGTCTCGTGGGAGTCGTGCCTTTTCAGTGCTCGGACCAAGTCTTTGGAATGAGCTGCCAGCCGACGTAAAGCAGGTCAAATCACTTGAGATCTTTAAAAGCCGACTAGAAACACATCTGCTCTCGTTGGCGTTTGGACACTGAAGTTGGGATTGCGTGGGCAGCATCACTTTGAATGTGTCTGGATCTGATTTTGGAAAAAGGACTGATATGGACTGCGAACTTGAACTCGGGATTTCTTGTTGTATTTTGAATGGTTAAATGTCTGTTTTATTGTTGTGATTTTTATTGGTGTACAGTGCTTTGTTTGTCCGTTTTGGGCATGTGAAAGCGCTTTATAAATAAAGTTGATTTGATTTCATTTGAAGCGAGGACTCCTCCGGCTGTTTCAGCCCCTTTGGTCACCCCTGGCAACGGAACAGGTCTGTGTGTGTCATTTCATTTGGCTGACTTTTATAATAATCTGATTAGTGAATCCAGATCATCCAATTTTATGGCGTGTTTTATTTCGATCCAAATTCATGTTAGCTCTCAAGATTTATCCTTTATCTGCTGCAATGAACTCTTATTTGCTTACACACACACACACACACACACACACACACACGCACACGCACACACACACACACTTCCCATAAACTTACATGGAACTTCACTTATTCCCTTTTAAAATTATTCCCAGTTCCACTATAATCTTGCGTGTCTCCAAATTTCCACTTTTATTACATTTCAGTTATTTCATATCACTGCCATAAAGCTTTGGGTTTCACCATTTTCTTAATTCCATGCATGAAACTATAAGATATGTTTGATCCATTTGTCAAATGTATTAACTGATGTTTGTAATAAACTCACAGAAACGTAAATAACGCCCGATCATTTCTAGCACTTTCGAGAATAGTCGGCGCGTTCTGGCAAGAATTCATCCTTCAGGTTCATTTGTGGTGTTAAATTTGAGACTGATTACATTGAACAAATCTGAACATCAATTCAAGTGTTTCAAGTTCACACTAACAAAGACTTGGTGGCGCCCCAATTAATGAATATAAGATTATAAACGACTAAACAAGCTAAATCTACACCACATTTGATATGTATAGAGATATAAGTCTATATTTATCGCTGCAACTGCACACTTTCAAAGGAAAATTCACATGACATTTTATACGGTTTGTGATGACAATGAATGATTTGAATTTTTTTCATCTACACCCACTGAGTACCATGAGTCTTCAGAGCTAAGGATTATTCCCTGGAGCGGTACCAAAACAATTCAAATCCATTTTGTACTCCCTGAGGAATGTTCGGTTCATTTTGGGCATGCGATTTTTGATCAGAATTCACAGAAACAGGCCTAGAGGTTAAGAGGTTAAGCCAATGAGTAATTAAAGTTAAAGTTAAAGTCCCATTAGTTGTCACACACACAGGTGTGTGTGCGAAATTTGTTCTCCGCATTTGACCCATCCCCTGGGGGAGCGGTGAGCTGCAGACACAGCCATTTGGTGGTTTAACCCCCCAATCCAACCCCTTAATGCTGAGTGTCAAGCAGGGAGGCATTGGGTCCCATTTTTTCAAAGTCTTTGGTATGACCCAACCAGGAATCGAACCCTGATCTCCCAGTCTCAGGGCGGACACTCTACCACTAGGCCACTGAGCTGGTAATGGACGCTGACAGAGCAGCATGTGGTCGTTAAAGCTGCTGATGCTACCTGCAGAGTCACACGCTTTAGTCGCTCCTCCTCCAGCTCTCCTCGCAGGTCCGAAATTTCTTTCCTGGAAACGGAAAAACACACAAACACAACTTAAAAGTCTGTGCTCAACAGAGACAATTCAAAGAGAAACCGGTCTTGTGTTAGTTGTGATGGAAAGTAAATTCACCATCTTTGAATTTGTTTTGTGAATTATTACATTGTAAAATAAACTGGTTTTAAAATGAGCCATCTTCAACAAGATAATATCTTGTTATGTGTGAGCGCAACAGGTTGATTGGTGCTGCATCTGCAGTGACCGGCGTTGTACCGGTCTGTCACGTCGTGCCAAGAAAGCTGAGCTGGAAAGCCTAGCTCTTGATTTACTGGTCCATCTACGTTCCAACCCTCATCTGTGGTCACAAGCTGTGGGAAGTGACAGAAAAAATGAGATCGCAGATGTGAGCAGCTGAAATGAGTTTTCTCTGCAGGGTGTCTGGTCTCTCCCTTTAGAAACAGGGTGAGAAGCTCGGTCATCCAGGAGGGGCTCAGAGTAGATCTGCTGCTCCTCCATCGAGACGAGCCAATTGAGCTGGCTCGGACATATGGCTAGAAAGCCTCCTGGATGCCTCCCATGTGAGGTTTTTGAGGAACGTCCAACCAGGAGGAGACCTAAGGGAAGCCTCAGGACACAATGGAGGGACTACGTGTCTAGTCTGGCCTGGGAACGCCTTAGGATTCCCCCGGAGGAGCTTGTCCAAGTCGCTGAGGAGAGGGAAGTCTGGACCTCTCCGTTCAGGCTGCTGTCCCCATGACCCGACTTTGGATAAGAGGAGGAAAAAGGGTGGGTGAGTGGATGGAGGATTCAGTGAGCTAGGGAAAACCAGGGCTTTCATTTTGACGAGTCTGCAGACAGTGATTTATGTCAGCAGGTGGACTTTGAGCTGCTCAATGGTTATTAAACCCTTCTGACAGAATAATTCATATTTAAAATACTACTTAAGTCACACAAGAACAGGCTACTGTAAAAATGTTTAGGCCAATTAGGGCTGTAAACCTCAGGGTTCCTCACGGTACGACTCACATAGGGTAACGCTACAATAATGGATATACTGCACACGTTATAGGTGGAATACGGGACACACAGACTCTAGAGAACACTCTGGTGACCTCTGGTGTTCAGAGGTGGTATTGCAACAACAGGACTAATTTTATGGTCCCCTGGTCTAATTGTACATGGAGGGACTCATTTAGTCAGTGAAATGGCTGTGGCTTTGGTATGATGCATCTGGGTCCAACGATACACGTCATAAACAAAAATCTGTTGTTCCCAACAGTGCTGTACAGGCAAAGAGCCTTACGGATGTACACGAAAAAGGCGTGTGCTGTCACCGAGCTTCAGCAGAAGCTTTGTCTGATAAAAAGTTATACCGGACTGTGTGGGGGAGCCAACAGCCACAGCCTTTTCTGTGAAATTTCGTAGCGTACCTTTGTGAGGCAGTTCTTACGTACTGCACAGTTTTTATCCAGCTTTGTTCCATCCACACAACTAATCCAAAGGGAGGCCAAATTTAAATTTAAACTTGCTCTATGACTCCACCATATTGTCCATGGTATTCTATTTGGCCTGATGTTTTAACCTCATTCTGATGAGGAGCACCGCCTAATGGTAAAAAAAAAAAAAAAAAACATGTAGGAAAAGAGCGTACTGGGACTCTTGAGGTGAAATTTTGTGATATTTTGCTAAATCTGTATTTTGTCCAACCCTGCAGTAAAACAATGCAGTAAAACTACTATTAATACCATCTAAAAATAATAAGAGTAGTTTCATAAGTTGACCAATAAAGGAGAAACATTGGCGGAATAAAAAGATTATGGAGAAAAAGTTCAGACCGGTGTAAGCTTAAATCCGTATGTATTTTATAATAATCTCTAGGGTTTTCTAGGGCATATTTTAGTGCCCCCCCAGGCTCGGCTGATTACGTTTGCTGGGTTTTGAGCAGCTCCACAGACAGCAGCAGCTCCTTTATCTGGCTCCTGAGCTCGTCCAGCTGGGAGCTCGTCTCCGAGGGTTCCAGTTGGGCTTTGCTGCTCCCCAAGACGTCGCCATCTACACTTGAGGCCACCGTTGGGGTTGGCTTCGTGTTCGTGGGCCTGGCAAGTGGTGGTGATGAGCTGTTGATGGAAGGCTGGGAAAAGAACACAGAGACAAATGTAAGAGATGGAAGTCTACACTCCTTGTATGGAAAATAAGCAACTGCTTTTGTTTTTTGATTGAGCCCAATTGTGACATTGAAACTCCTATTTTCATAACATAACATTTTTGAAAGAGAATGTGTTAAAATATCACTCAGATAGGTTTATTATTAACTAGGGATGCATCGATGCCACTTTTTTCCAAGCCGATACGATACCGATACTTGGATCAGAGTACTCGCCGATACCGATTACAGATTCTGATACTTCTACCACACACAAAAAATGCAATGATTTGGAATACAGATTTTATTTTCTTCTCTGCTTTCAACAGGAAAAGACTGTGAGGTAGATAAAAAGTACAATATATGAATGGAAATCATCACAAAACTAAATTATTAGGTGAACCGAAATGACAAGTTACAGTGAAGCCATTTTCAAGCAACTGCATTGGTATCGGTTAACTTTTATCGATACCGATACGATACTTGTATCGGTATCGGTGCTGATACCGATACAAGTATCGTATCGGTGCATCCCTATTATTAACATCTGTCAATTATTCTTCTGTCTTGCCACAATTTACAATTTGTATCTTTACACCAGCTTTAGATAAAAAATTAGTGCTATTTCACTTTTGGTAATTATTACAACAGAGTTTTGACAAAGTAATAAAAAACTTCGCTCTATAGCCAAGGTCGACTTCACAGTCGAATCACCAAAGCCAGAAGGCCAGCGACGGTTGGACTGGACTTTGATAAATTATTTACAATCACCGTTTAACATTTTAATATCAGACATGAAAACGGGTCAAGGGTGGGAAAAGTACGAACTCTGCTGATGAAAACACTAAAACCATAAAGAGTCCTAAACTTCCAATAAAAACAGTTAGTTTATATTTGCTGATAATAATAATAATAATAATAATAATAATAACAACACCAGCAGAAGGCTGTGGGCTTGATTAAGATTTAATGACAGCTACCTCCCCTTCACTAACCAGCGAACTAACCCTTCCTTTGGGGACATGTTGAGTTTTATTATCTCCGTATGTCCATTGTGTCTCTGAGGAGAAGACACAAGCCAACGAGAAGAAAACATCTGACTCAGAAGGTAGACTAAAGCTCCCTCCCAGTTTTCAAGTTGAATTTAACGTGAATTCAAGTCACCTTGGTTCATGAAACTCAACAAAGTTCAGCAAGAACTTCTACAGGCTGACACAACAAAACAATATTATCATTTCTCCGACTGTTCTGAGCGCTTATCTCCTCCGTGTCACCCCCCACCTCCGCCCGCAGCAGCGCAGTAGAGACCCAAGAAGACCCAAAGACGGATTTTAAGCCTAAAACTGGCTCGCCAGAGACAACACAGCCTACATTTTTGTGTGTCTTTACCACCACGGATCTCTCTGTTGCCCTAACACGACTCACGGTGCTCAAATGAAATGAATCGATCCAAGTCCGATCCCACCCGTTGGCACTCCGCTCAGGCACGGATCGTACAAGCAGGGAAGAGCCGTCTGGAGGTCTACACAGGAGAACTCCAGAAGATGCGTTCGTGCAGGTCGCGCCTCACCAGTTCTGATGGATTTATTTACTTTTTTCAACTGTCAGTGGTGTTAGGAACGCCTTACAGATCCTATTGAAAATTTGCCCCAGTGTTTAATATTGAAACTGGTTAAACTGTAAAATCCGGACTCGCTGTTAAGCTGTCGGCTGTTTTCTTTAATCTTCTTTTAACTTTAAAAACTTGCCCCTTCACATCCAAACACCGCACTAAACAGATCTGAAGCCATTTGTTCCGTCTCTCGTCTCTAAATACCAAATCTGAATACAGATGAACGTAAAGTTACCCTTTTGGCTCCTGTGGGCTTTGTTATGCCCCCATCTTCTTTATCATCCTTTAAGGCCTTCTCAAAGTTCACATCTCTGGAAGGCTGCAAAGGAACACTTTCATTAACACATCTACTGACAGTCATCAACATATATCAAGGACTTGTTTGATAAAGAATACAACCTTGTGGATGGACTATACTTTAGTAGCATCTTAGTAATTTCTACTCAACCATTCTGTTCCTTATAACCTCTTCAGTTCATTGAGGCTTTAGGGAATCTGTTCATATCAATACATTAATCAATACTTTATTAATCCCTGAGGGAAATTAGAGTTTCAGTACACACAGTTCAGAGATCAGACATACATGGGCAAGACACATGACAAGAATTGGTGACTGTGGTCATTCACAACCCTGAGTCGCACTACCTTAATAGAGATCAGAGGGTTACATGAGGATTGGTTCAGGTGGAGGGAAAAAAGCACTTCAGAGTTACCCTCCACCAGGAGGGCAGCTTTGCTCTGCAAAAAACACCTCAACATATATGCAACACACTTCAGACAACCCAACATAACATGAGACTCCAATGGGGGGGGCGGGGGGGGGGGGGGGGGGGGGGGCTGGGATCCTATTTTCCCCCAGCGAGAGCAGCCACTGTAGCCACAGGTGGGAGGGAGATCTTGGGAGAAGCAAAGAGTACATCGACTCCTACAGTTGATGAACTCGCCAGGCTGAAGTCCCCCAATCTGAAGGCGGGCGGGGTGGGGGTGGGGGGGCAGGTCGGGCTTTCACAGCATCTGTCTGCATTTCTTCGTGGGGATTTGTTGCCGCTCAAGGCTACAAGGGCGTCAGATTCAGATAACAAGAATTTGTTTGGATCAGGCTGAGAACATTTTCCTCTCTGCCTTCAGTCTTTAAACTGATCATTCCAGTCCTTCAGTGGAGCCAATTTTGGGTTTTTAAAACCCGTCCATACCGTCCGGTGACCCTCTCCGAGATGACATCCATTTTGCGCGCTAATACCGGTATCACAGCTAGAACACTGTCCAGCTTACGATTCACCTCGAGTAGTCCCAGTCTGAGAAGTCTCCACACGGACGTCATTCAAATATCTCACTGTTTTAGTAAGGATGTTACCTAGAATCACATGGCTTTTCTGCTTCAGTTATGCTGTCGTAGACGGTCTACTGGGTCAACAACATTTTGAAACTACTTGATACAACAAACATTTTTCGTTATGAATCTGACATCATCTATCAAATTTATATTCCAACTTCTACATCTAGTTACCAGATGTTTAGTGTCCCTGTCCTCCCATGCCGAGAAGACGGTTAACATTCCAGCAGAAGCTGGCAAGCACTCAGAGATAATAAGGTGAACAACTTATGTTTCAAGAAAAAAACAGCTGGATCTCTCATCTGGGAGTGAAGATCTCAACTGATAACAACAGCAAGTATCTAACAAACCATGCACTTCAAAGGTTGCTGATCAAATAACTGATTACTACGGACTCCTTGATGATTTTTCTGGTATTTGACACCGTCTGTTGTCACCAAAATGTACCTGAAGGCCGTCATGGTGGATCATTGTTCAGAAGGAATTTGTTCTACAATTTATTGCAATAGAAATGACACTCACACAGCTGCCTTCACATGAATTTTAAAATACGTTGGTTTAAATTTGTCACAACTTAGTGTTTTGATTCATAAATCACTAACTGAAAAACTATTTTTAATTCATGATGAAAGTGTGACTGATAGAATAACCACAGATGTGAGATTCTAGATCCAAAGGTTCAAGAGTCCTAATCTCTCTGTGTGTTCGAATAACAATGTTGAAGAAGGACCTCCATGATGTCCTATTGACCTTCCACACAAGATCATTTTACAACTTTATCTCGAAACCAGAAAGTTTAAAAACTAAAATGTTCTTTTATCATTTGTCAGCATCCTTACCGACTGCGTAAAGTGGGCAGGGAGCCTCCGACCGTGAAACTTTGGTCTGCCAGCAGTTGGGTGGGGGAGCTTATCGGACGTAAGGGACAACTCGTCAAAAAGCTTCAGATCTGTTAGGAACACATGAGACAGGAAAGGTTAGAGCTAAAGAAAACACCAGAGGGAATTACTTTAAGCCAAATGTTTCATCCATCCATCCATTTTCAGCTGCTTATCCGAAGTTGTGTCGTGGGAGCAGCAGCCTACGCAGAGACGGCAAGGCAAGGCAGCTTTATTTATAGAGCACATTTCAAACACAGAGGCAATTCAATGTGCTTTACACTTATCAGGACGTGATATGAAAACACATAAAAACCACAAATTAAAACACACACACAAATGGAATCACAGTTTTGAGGCCCAGACTTTCCTCTCCCCAGCCACGTGGGCCAGCTCCTTCAGAGCAATCTTAAGGCATTCCCTGGCCAGCCGTGTCTTGGGTCTTCCTTTGAGTCTCCTCCCAAATGGATGTGCCCGGAAAACCTCACTAGGGAGGTGTTGAGGAGGCATCCTGACCAAAGGCCCGAGCCACCTAAACTGGCTCCTCTTGATGTGGAGGAGCAGCGGGTCTACTCCAAGCCCCTCCTGGATGACTGAGCTGCTCACATCATCTCTGAGGGAAAGCCCAGACACCCTGTAAAGAAAACTCATTTGGGCTGCTTGTATCCGCAATCTAATTTGTTTTGGTCACTACTCAAATCTTGTGACCAAACGCAACAGTAGGAACAGAATGAATGGTAAATTGTTAGCTAGGCCTTCCAGCTCAGCACTCTCTTTACCATTACAGACCAGTACAATGCCTAGATGCAGCACCAGTCCACCTACTGAGCTCACACTCCATCTTTCCCTTACCCGTGACCCACAGATACTAAACTCCTCCACTTGAGGCAGGACCTCGTGCCTGACCTGGACAACACATTCTGCCATTTTCTGGTTCAAGACCATGGTCTTGGATTTAGCTGTGAACTGCTCCAGCAAATGCTGGAGGTCACTGAGGAGTTTTTTGACCACCTCAGTGACCTCAGTCCGAGAGACTGGAGGGTCCAATCCAAAGTCACATGACTCCGCTTCCTCACTGGAGGACATGCCGGTGGGATTGAGGGGGTTTTCGAAGTACTCCACCCACTGATCCACAATATCCCGAGTAGACCCCACTGTAGACGGTGTTGGTAGCGCACTGCTATCACCTTCTGAGGCACCAGATGGTGGACCAGAATCTCGTCAAAACCATAAGCAGGTCTTGCTCCATAGTCTCACCAAACTCCTCCCATGCCCAAGTTTTTGCCTTGGTGACGACCCAAGCTGCATTCTGATGACCCATTCTGCTGTAGCCACCAGACAAACAAACCAATGCTTTATTCAGGATCAGGGTTGTTGATCAGACATTGCTCGTACCTGAATCTGCAGGTTTGTCCACTGGTTCTACTTTAGGTACGACGGGCAATACAGGCTCTGTGTCAGGCTTTGGTCTGCTGGATGGTAACTCGCCATTTTGCCTGCAGTAAAGAGAGAAAAGGTAGTTACGCCAGAAGAGAAGAGTTCTGAGGTGACGTCATACATGCGACGTGCCAATGTCGGATGTGTAGTCATGCTAATCACAAACTTTTACAAGTTATCTTGATACTGATTTTAGGCCATATAAATAGATGAATGCCCACAAGTCTAGATAGATTAACGTCCATTATTGTGGTTTTGAGAGGTTGAGGACCAACAAACTGTAAGACAGAGAGGAAATTATCTCTGTCTGGCCCCAAAACAATTTCTAATCAGAACCTGGCGTCCTTGAGCCTGCAAGGCTCCAACGAAAACTCCCCCCAGAAGATATGTGGAATGTGCCGTCGCTATGGCAACTCAACTCTGTCTCCTTTCCCAGCCTGGGCGGGACAGCTGGAAGGCCGCTGAAATGTTCCAGGGTCACTGCAACCCTCCAACCCTCAATGCTCCTCCCCCTATCCACACTGAGGTGACATGCGCTGCTTCTATCATGGCTGCAGGAACTGAAGTGGGGATAGTCCCAACCCACCACCCCACCTAGTGGAAACTTATGTTGTGTTGTCTGAAGTCTGTTGCATATCTGTCTGAGGTGTTTTTTTGCAGCGCAAAGCTGCCCTCCTGGTGGAGAGTAACTCTGAAGTGCCTTTTTTCCCTCCACCTGAACCAATCCTCATGTTACCCTCTGATCTCTATTAAGGTAGCGCGACTCGGGTTGTGAATGACCACAGTCACCAGTTCTTGTCATGTGTCTTGCCCATGTATGTCTGATCTCTGAATTGTGTGTACTGAAACTCTAATTTCCCTCTGGGATTAATAAAGTGTCTTTGATATCGCCCAGCCCTAATACTAGAACCATTTCCCTATTTTAGCTTTTAAAACTCATTTAATCCTCGTCTTCGGCTGTTTCAGTACCGCCGACAGGTATCTGAGAATCACAGGAATAAAGTACGTACTTGAAACTTGACGAGGAAGCGAGAGGCTTTTCAGGCTTTTTGGGTGGAACAGGGACAGGCTTCTTGCGTGGTACTGATGGTGGCAGGGGCTTCAAAGGTTTACCATCCGTAGTAGTCTTGTCATCTGCAATAGGAAAGCAAAGAGTGTGGATGAAAAAGAAAACTGAAAGTAAATGGACTAATGTTCACCTTTTTTACCTCTAATTTCACTATTTAATATTTAAGTCTTTTGAACAGAACACATTATGCCTGTAAAAAACAGATCAGTGATAAAACAAGATTCAAAATACTGGTAAGGTGAGAAGATCTGAAGTTTAAAAAACAACCAATTCAGAAGGAGGGCAAAAGGAAGTTAGTTCCTGATGGAACACATCAAGCTGTGATGATAATATTCACTCAGAGAAATAGGAAGAGGAAGTCAGGTACCGCCCATGGCTTTTCTGATATCTAGAAATCAATCAGCACAGAGATGGAGTGAAGGTGCAAGAGGAGGAAGAGTTTTCCCATGTCTTGCTGGAGAGTGATGCATTTACTCCAACATATCCACATCACATTTAAATAAGTCTCGTTGGATTCAAGGAAGAGACTGTAAAAGAACACGTCAGAGGTTATCATCACTCATCACTCATCGGGGAGCAGCAACACCAATTACTGAAGTGAAAAACTCGGAGGGAAAAAGGCCTAAAAATCTCTACAGCTGGTTTTCCAAGGGCACTACTCAGAGTAACTCGAGAGCTGCTTAAACCGATCACACCAGGTGACAGCAACCAATACCGTTCGCTCATGTACGTCATCTTTCAACAGAAGATGATTAATAAAACTATTAGTATGAATTTGATCCAGAAGTTGTAGCTCATCTGTGACGACAGTATTGATATTTCTCACCCTGTTGGTGGTTTTAATAGTTGAACAGGTACCGCTTTTTGACGCGTCACACGTCTCCTTTTAAAACATGTTTAAACTGTTCAGAGTACAAATCCAGGCTCTGTCTCGTTGGATTGTTGAAAATAAACTTTGTGCTCTCCATCCATCTGTGGCGGTGCATCAGGGAGCACGTTGCTGCAGGAGAGAGTGAGGGGAAGCCCCGGCCGAGCAGTGATCAAGGCTCCACCAGTCAGAGCTTTATGGTAGAGTAGCCCGTCGAAGCCTCTGCTCAATGCAAAACACACAAAAGGCCACATGGAGTTTGCTAAAAGATGCCTGAAGGACCCCAAGATGGTGAGACATAAGATCATCTGGTCTGATGAGACCAAGATAAAACCTTTTGGCCTTAATTGTAAGCCACATGTGTGGAGAAAACCAGGCACGGCTAATCACTTGTCCAATACAGTCCCCACAGTGAAGCATGGCAGTGGCAGCATCATGCTGTGGGAATGTTTTTCAGCTGCAGGGACAGGACGACTGGTTGCAATCAAGGGAACGATGAATGTGGCCTAGTGCAGGGATTTCCTGGAAAAGGACCTACTCCAGAGTGGTCAGGACCTCAGACTGAGCCGACGGTTTACCTTCCAACATGAAAATGACCCGAAGCACTCAGCTAAAATAACAAAGGAGTGGATTCAAAGCAACGGTGACTGTCCTTGAATGGCCTAGCCAGAGGCCTGATTCAAACCCAATGGAGCATCTCTGGAGAGACCTAAACATGGACGTCCACCAACGTTCACCATCCAACCTGACAGACCTGGAGAGGATCTGCAAGGAGGAATGTCAGAGGATCCCCAAATCCCGGTGTAAGAAACCTGCTGCATCTTTTCCAAGAAGACTCGTGGCTGTGTCCACTCAAAAGGTGCTTCTACCAAATACTGAGCAAAGGGTCTGAATACTTAGGACTATGTGATATTTCAGGTATTCCTTTTTAATAAATCCGCAAACATTTCTAAAATTCTGTCAGTATGGGGTGCTGTGTGTACATTAATGAGGAAAAAATTTAATGATTTTAGCCAATGGCTGCAATATAACACAGTGAAAAATTGATGGGGGTCTGAATACTTTCTGTACACACTGTCCATTATAAATACAATTAAAATAAGATACATTCACGACAGAAACTTTCCTACATTTAAAAAAAAGAGCCCAATTTTATGTACAAAAGTTTGTAGAAGTTGTACATCTTATTTTGTAGGGAACGACACGTCTGTAGGGTCACTGTTAAAAGCAAAGAGTAAAACAGGTAAAGCAGGGTATCTGCTGGTTCAGGGTATCTGCAGGTTTAAGGGAGCCGCGGATACCCCGTAAAGGAATATCTGAAAAAAAATATTGCATTCATCAACAAAGTAATCAAATACTAGTTTCGCGTATTGGTTCAAAAGGATGAGTGCAGAGTTCAGAGGTGGTAGCTGTGAAACTGGGAGCCAACTTAAAAATCTGTTCAAAACAAAACATTTGAATTTGACCAAGTTTTTGACAAAACTGGAAAACATATTTGAAGTTTTTTTTATAACTTTCATCTCCAAATAAATTGTCCTCGTCTTTTCTTTTGCTTATTAACTATAAATGGAAGCACGCTGCCATGAAAAGCATGAAATTGGAGACAAAGCGATGTTAAACCTCTGGATCATAATTAGATGGAATATAGACTCTGACAGGGTGGACACAGACAGGGGTCTACCTTTATCCTGTAGCTTGACTGAATGAGGCTTCTTGTCGACACTTGGGACATCTGGCTTGGGAGCTGAAAAACAAAACGTGGTCCACCGAGTCACACCTGGCTCAAGCAGTTCAAAACACCTTTTTAAAGCATGTCTCTATTACACACACACACACACACACACACACACACACACACACACACACACACACACACACACACACACACACACACACACACACACACACACACACACACACACACACACACACACACCACCTACGTAGAAATCAGAGGTTAATTATGAGCACAGAGCACTAGATGCATCTCACACTGCAAACATCGAGAGCACAGCTCATGTTCAGCATTACAGGCTCATAGAAGTTTGTGTCCGGCCCATCAGCACACTAAGAATTTCCAGACAAACAGGAAGTTGTGCATGCAGACTTGCTAAGAGATAAAAGTGCACGGCTAACTGTAACACAGTGGAGAGCAGGACGTTGCTTCCTGTGCAGACAGGAAACATTGGTGCAAATGTGCATATTGCAAACCCGTCTTAAAACTACTTGATATTATTGATATTTTAATCTCTTTATATTATTGAAGCAATAAATAAAAAAGTCAAGTTTTTTGAAAATAAATAAATAAAAAAGTTGTAATTATTGACCCAAAAAGTCAAGTTAAAAAAATAAATAAATAAATAAGTTGTAATTATTGACCCAAAAAGTCAAGTTTTAAAAATAAATAAATAAATAAATAAATAAATAAGTTGTAATTATTGACCCAAAAAGTCAAGTTTTTTTAAAAAAATAAATAAAAAAGTTGTAATTATTGACCCAAAAAGTCAAGTTTAAAATAAATAAATAAATAAATAAGTTGTAATTATTGACCCAAAAAGTCAAGTTTTTTTAAAATAAATAAATAGAAAGTTGTAATTATTGACCCAAAAAGTCAAGTTTAAAATAAATAAATAAATAAGTTGTAATTATTGACCCGAAAAGTCAAGTTTAAAATAAATAAATAAATAAATAAGTTGTAATTATTGACCCAAAAAGTCAAGTTTAAAATAAATAAATAAATAAATAAGTTGTAATTATTGACCCGAAAAGTCAAGTTTAAAATAAATAAATAAATAAATAAGTTGCCACCTCCGGGTTGGGAGAGAGGTCCTACCTCAAGTGGAGAAGTTTAAGTATCTCGGGGTCTTGTTCACGAGTGAGGGTAGGAGGGATCGGGAGATCGACAGGCGGATTGGTTCGGCGTCTGCAGTGATGCGGACGCTGAGCCGATCTGTCGTGGGGAAGAGGGAGATGAGCCAGAAAGCCAGGCTCTCGATTTACCGGTCGATCTACGTCCCAATCCTCACCTATGGTCATGAGCTTTGGGTAATGACCGAAAGAACGAGATCGCGGATACAAGCGGCCGAAATGAGTTTCCTCCGTAGAGTGGCCGGGCTCAGCCTTAGAGATAGGGTGAGGAGCTCGGACATTCGGGAGGGACTCGGAGTAGAACCGCTGCTCCTCCGGATCGAAAGGAGCCAGTTGAGGTGGTTTGGGCATCTGGTCAGGATGCCTCCTGGACGCCTCCCCGGGGAGGTGTTTCGGGCATGTCCTGCCGGCAGAAGGCCCCCGGGTCGACCCAGGACACGTTGGAGAGGTTACATCTCCAATCTGGTCCGGGAACGCCTTGGGGTCCTGCCGGAGGAGCTGGTGGAGGTGGCCGGGGAGAGGACGGTCTGGAGCTCCCTAATTGGGAAGCTGCCCCCGCGACCCGGACCCGGATAAGCGGAGGAAGACGAAGACGAAGATAAATAAGTTGTAATTATTGACCCAAAAAGTCACGTTTAAAATAAATAAATAAATAAATAAGTTGTAATTATTGACCCGAAAAGTCAAGTTTTTTTTAAATATATAAATAAATAAAAAAGTTGTAATTATTGACCCAAAAAGTCAAGTTTTTTTTTTAAATAAATAAATAAATAAAAAAGTTGTAATTATTGACCCAAAAAGTCAAGTTTTTTTTGAAAATAAATAAATAAATAAAAAAGTTGTAATTATTGACCCAAATGATTCTTGCACTAGCCTGATCTTGTTAATAGGAAGATTGACTGGTGTGTAATCCAGTCAGAGAAGCCTTCACTCAGACCAGCCTAACACGGGAGAAGCCAATTAAACGTAGAGGGTAATAAGCTCCTTACCAGGGGGTTTGGATGGTGGAGGTGGTTTACTCTGTTTCTGACGGGAAGAGAGAACAGTAGAAAAATAGGTCAGCATGGTGACAAGAAAGAAAACAAATCAAATCAGATTGGCTTGTAGGAAAATAACACAAATCATTTTTCACCTTTTAAGTTGAATTATTGACATAAAATAACTTTGGCACCATACTGTAATTTTTGAGTTTCACTGTAATTAAGAAAAACGAGTTCAGTCTAAACAAGTCTAACTTGTTGTCCTCAGTCCACAGTTATTGTCCAAGGTCTACAGCTGGTTCTGCAGGGCGATCTATCCAGAATCACACATAAACACACATTCAACTAAACCAGTGGTTCCTAACCTGGGGGTCCCAACGCCCACAAGAGGGCGCCAAAGCCTCTCAGTGGGTCGCCAGGACCTCTCCACTTTAAGGGGTTAAAACTTCATTTATTACTTGTTTATAGCCTACATTTTGCTCACATTTTTTTTTCATGAGTGAAAAGTTTACTGATATTAAGACAGGAAATAATTAGTACAGAAAGAGTAACACACTTTTAAGAACATTTTGCTCAGCTCACTGTTTTATTTTCAAGTGTCAAAAGTTCATTAAAGATAGGACTGGTTGATTAATCACAGCCTTCACAGTAAATAACCTAGTATAAACAGTAATATACACATTTATGTACATTTTGCTCAGTGTATTTTTTATGTGTCAAACGTTTATTGAAAGGAATGATTGATTTATCAGTGTTTACAAGAAACAATGTGTTCAGACAAGTAATAAACTGTCAAGCACATGATGCTCTGTTTGGTTTGGTTAATGACTTTGTTCTGTACTGGAGCCTACTATTACTGTTATCTATTGAATCAAAGCATACTAAAATGTGCTTGAACAATTTTATCATTTCTTAATAATGTTTGTAGTGGAAGAGAGAATGGGAGGGGGTCGTCAAAAATTTTACTGGTAAAAAACGGGGTCCCTTGGGAAAAAGGTTGGGAACCACTGAGCTAAACCAAAGCACAAGGTTCAAGAAGATCTAGCTTGATAAGGCCGATTAACTTCCTGTTATTATTCAGGACAGCTGCAGCTGGTAGCTTCTCTCTAGTTTTGATTGACACACTGGAACACAAGTCATCTGTCTCTCAGATGTTTTTGCTGATAACCTGTATAGATGAGTGTCTAATGGTGCTGGGCACATGTGTAATCATTACTGTGGCAGTTTAGTGCAATTTACTTTAAATGTAATATTTCAGCCCAAAACCATAATTCTATCTCCGTCTTCAGGTTAAAACTCTGCTCCACATTTATGCAGAACCAGCTGTGGCTGATGGCTACGCTGAAAAACGTGACGTTATCAGCAAAGTACTACGTGGCTGCACCGCACTGGTCTCCAGGTGAGGCAGCTGCACCTCCACCTGGCTCAGCCACTCACCTGCCGGTTTGACACGTTAGCGCTCTGAGCCGCTCGCCTCCTTGAAAAAAATGGCCTCCTCCCCCTTTTCATCTAATGATCGCGGTTGACAGGAAATCCTCCAGAATGCTGCAGAATCTGTGTCTGCTCTTCTCCTGAGCGGTAAGTCTACTGTGAGTGTGTGTTTGCGTGCACGTGAGAGTTTGAAAAGTTGATCATTTCATTTAATTATTTTTATCCCAAGGAAAAAAATCCAACCTCTACACAAATCTCCCTAATACAGACTAGAACCTCCAGCTGATCACGAAACAAACACTTTTAAGGTGTCTGGGGTTTGCTGCTAGCCGCTAGACACATTTACACACTTCCTGCATCCATCAATCTACTCTTACCTGAATCGAGTCAGACTTCTGAGAGGATTTCAACGAGCCTCTAGATGGTGGCGTCTGAAACACAAACACGAGAATGCTGACGTACCACTCATGTTATAAAACAGCAGCAGGGTACAGTAAAAAGTTGGAGCACTCCATGTTTCTTCCATTTCCCTCCTGGAAGCTGCTCCACTGACATTTCTCTAAAATCTCTTCTGGGAGCTTTATTCATCACATAGAAATGCTTTTAGAGAAAATCAGGTTCTTCTGTTTGTCGGGAGATGAAACGGTACCCGACCCTGGCTGTTTCTGGTGCTATTAGAAGACTACACATGACACCGTTTCTCCGATCCCTTCACCGGTGGTCGGTCTGATTTAGGATTGATTTTAAAATTGTGATTGGCCAAGCCCCCTCTTTATGTGCACTCTTTGCTCCTCCACGTTAGGCTGATGCCTCCAATCGCAGCTTTTACATCTCGACTGAAAACACACTTTTTCTCTCTGGCTTTTACCACTTAAATCTGCCTTTAGAACCAATCAATCAATCAATCAAATCAAAGATACTTTATTAATCCCAGAGGGAAATTAGAGTTTCAGTACACACAATTCAGAGATCAGACATACATACATAGACACATGACAAGAATTGGTGACTGTGGTCATTCGCAACCCAAGTCGCGCTACCTTAATAGAGATAAGAGGGTAACATGAGGATTGGTTCAGGTGGAGGGAAAAAAGGCACTTCACAGTTACCCTCCACCGGGAGGGCAGCATTGCTCTGCAAAAAAACACCTCAAACAGATATGCAACAGACTTCAGACATTACACAAACATGAGACTCCAATAGAAAGGCGGGGGCTGGGATCCTGTTTCCCCCAGCGAGAGCAGCCATCTACGGCGCTCATCTACTGTACAGTCCCAGGTGGGAGGGAGATCTTGGGAGAAGCGAAGAGTACATTGACTCCTACAGATTGATGACCTGTACTGATTTACCTCCATCCCATTGATTGCTTCATTTTCCTTCTGTATTTTCTAAGTTTTTATTGCCTGTTTGGTTTTAAGTACTTTCTTTTCAAACCGGGTTTTAGTATTAAGCCTATGGGGTTTTCTCCTTTCCACTTCACTGCCTACATTCGAGTGTTTTTATGGTTTAATGGCATGTCTGGTTTTAGTTCTTCTCTTTAACTGTTCTTTAAAATATCACAACTTAGCTGGCTGTTTTTATTGTGCAGCGCTGTGGTCAGCTGCATGGCTGTGTTGAAAGCACTTAACAAATAAAATGGTATGGTATGTTAACACGACTCTGATCGTGTAATGTACGACGTGTGGAGAACATGCATGGGACCACAGAATCCAACATGAAAAATAGAAAGATGAAAGTGTTGTGAAGCGTTTTAATATGTGGACTTTGCCGGTTTACTGAGCTGAGGGGATTAGGTCCGCTGTAGAACCGTCACACAAGTCTACTACACATCAGGAGAACAATCTTTCAATAAGTTCATGTTCAGCCACAAACAACAAACTACATGAAACGGCTCAAACAAACTAAGTCTGACCAGAACAGAGAGGAGGTGAGCTAGCATTAGCCTTCCGTCAGCTAACTGTCCACACCAGCGGCCTTGAAATCCAGTTCTTTAGGAGCGCTATCCGGCATGTTGTAGTTGTTTCTCTGCTCCAACATGCTTGATTTTAGTTAGAAAGTGATTAAGAGGCTAAACAAGTGGTTCAACCAATGAATCAAGTGTGTTGAGCAGAGAAACAACTAAAACATGTAGGAAAATGACCCTCAGGAGCTGGAGTTTGAGGCCCCAGATCTACAGGAAAACACATCAGCAGATGAGGAGAGATGTGAGGTTATTGATGGAGACATATTGTGCAAAACTGACCGTTTGTGCTGCCATGTGGGTCTCTATGGCCTCTATAACCACTCCAAACATGAAAACAAATCCATCCATTTTCATCCGTTTATCCAGAGTCGGGTTGCGGGGGCAGTAGCCTAAGCCGAGACGCCCAGACTTCCCTCTCCCCAGCCACTTGGGCCAGCTCCTCCAGCGGAATCCTGAGGTGTTCCCTGGCCAGGTGAGAGACATAGTCCCTCCAGCATGACCTGGGTCTTCCCTTGGGTCTCCTCCCGGTTGGATGTGCCCAGAAAACCTCACCAGGGAGGCGTCCTGACCAGATGCCTGAGCCATCTCAACTGGCTCCTCCCGATGTGGAGGAGCAGCGGATCTACTCCGAGCCCCTCCCGGATGACCGAGCTTCTCACCCTATCTCTAAGGGAGAGCCCAGACACCCTGCAGAGAAAACTCATTTCGGCCGCTTGTATCCACGATCTCGTTCTTTCGGTCACTACCCAAAGCTCATGACCATAGGTGAGGGTAGGAACGTAAACCGACTGGTAAATCAAAAGCTTTGCCTTCTGGCTCAGCTCTCTCTTCACCACGACATCACTGCAGATGCAGCACCAATCCGCCTATCGATCTCACACTCCATCTTTCCCTCACTCGTGAACAAGACCCCGAGGTACTTAAACTCATCCACTTGGGGCGGGACCTCATTCCTGATCCGGAGAAGACGTTCTTCCCTTTCCCGATTTCACCATGAAAACAAATGTCCATCCATTTTCACTGTTCGGTTTTAGGAACTATGTGCCTTAAAACAAGCCGTAACAAAAAGTCCTTGTTTGTGATGTCACAAACAGGAAAAGTAGACTAAAACCACCTCTCACATGCAAGTGAGAGCTGCTGCTGGGGAAGCAGCGGCTCTACTCCAAGTCCCTCCTGCATATCTGAGCTCAGCTTATAGCAGTCTGAGGGGTTTAGTGAAAATGTCTTATTGTATTGGATCGACCACAGAGCTAGTCTAACAAAAAAAAAGCCCTAATATGTCTCCTTTATAGAGTCTGTAGCAGGATGAGCAGAAGGAGATGTTCTAATATAAAACCAAGAACAACTATTTAGACTCATCTCTCAGTCAGAGCTGTCACTGAAGAATACATTTCACTTTTGTAGAACTTTTAGAAATACAGCACATCCTGAACCTGGACTATCACCATGGCAACCCCAAAGAGGCTGCAGGCATTCCTTGAGCCACCACTGACCCTCTACCCAGCTGCTCCATCAACAAACAGCACAGTCATGCCTGCAGTGATCTGCAGGTCCTGGGCAACTCCTTTAAGGATGCTCCAGAGTTTAAATCAGTGAGCTGTTCCATAGTTCACAGAGTTTTTAAAAAAGGAGACAAAAAATATCTCACTTCTTTCTCTGCCTCAGGAACCAGGACGACAAAGTTGTTGGGAAAGAAGCCTTGATGCCCTCCCACCTCTCCTCGCCACCAGCCGGACTCTCCTGTGTCCTGTTTAGAGGCACAAGAGAAACAAAAATAAATCCATGCTTTCTGAGCTGCCTCTTCAGTCTGCGTCCGTCTGTACTTTCTTCACTTAGAGTAAATCACCGGTCATTTCTCTACAACTCCACTAGATGGGAGCAGAGCCCTGAACATTCACCACATCATTTCCCTTGAAGCAACGTGTCATGAGCTGAAACTAATGTCGTTCTGAAAAAACAACAGTTAATGCCTAACTAGTCACACTGGTGGTGTGTCACACCAGGAAGGAAATGAGAGGTGCTGCTCATTAGACACATTAAATTATCATCAATGTGAGCTCCTTTAGAAGGTTTTTAGTTTTCTGGTCTGGAGCACACCGGTGTGTGTTAACATGAGGAGGGCATCCAACTATCTGGGCAGCGATAAAGGCTCAACACATTGGCTGCAACAAGAAATCCTGTCCGTAAAAGTTATGAACAGAATCGGTGGCAAAGGGCAGCCTTGGCAGAGTCCAACTCTCACCGGAAACCAGCCTGAAGTACTGCCGGCAATGCGGACCGAGCTCAGACACCAATCATACAGGGAACTAATGGGCCATTCCCATCTGTAACGGGTCAGCCCGGGCCGGGTAGCCCCAGTCGGCCCCAGCCTGGCCCGGTTGATTCCACACATCCTTGCCTTAAGCCCATGTGGGCTGATTCTACCCACCAATCAGAGGCTTGCTCTAATGGAAGGTGTGAATTTGCTGTCAGCAGTGGGTGTGTTGGCCCTGGTCGGCCTGAAGCAGACCCCCTCGAGAAGAGGGCTGAGAATGAGCCTTGGTTGGCCCGGAAAAACACCAGGCCACCCAGATATGTAAACAACCTATGCTACCCGGCCCGGGCCGATCCGGTACAGATGGGAATGGCCCATAACAGACCCTATCAGAGGGCCTGGTACCCCATACTCTCAGAGTATTCCCCACAGGCCCCCCGGGGGAAGCGGTCGAACGCGTTCTCCAAATTTACAACACACATGTAGATTGGTTGGGAAAACTCCCACGCACCCTCCAGGACCCCCTAAGGGTATAGAGCTGGTCCTGTGTTCCACGGCCAGGACCAAAACCACACGTAAACAAACAAAACCAATTAGTATGTTTATGCACCTGGCTGGAGCCCAGGCACCATCAAACACTTTGTAGTTTGATTATCAAGTCATTCTGTGACAGCCAAGGAGCCAGCTGAAGATGTGTCCATCAATTAGCATCACAGGTGTCTACAATCGTGTAATCAGTCAGCGGGCCTATGTTTAGGGCTCCAGGTAGTCATTGTGTTGTTTGGTGACATGGTGTGTACCACACTCACCATGGACCAGGGAAAGCAAAGCAAAGTGTTTACTCAGAATATTAGAAAGAAATGATAGACAAGCCTGTTAAAGGTAAAGACTTTGACCATCTCCATGCAGCTAGATGTTCCTGTGACTACAGCTGCACATATTATTCAGACATGTTAGATCCATGGAGCTGTAGCTAACCTCCCTGGACCAGGCTGCAGGGTTGGGGTTAGAAGTAAAACTGATGACAAATCAAAAAGACAGATAATCTGAACGGTAACAAAAATGCCCAGAAAAACTTTGAAAGAGATCCAAGGTGAACTTCAAGCTCAAGGAACATCAGTGTCAGAATCTGTTGTTTTTTTGAGCCAAAGTGGACTACATGGGAGACGACCAAGGAGGACATCATTGTTGAAAACAAATCATAAAAAAGACAGACTGGAACGTCAAACTACATGTTGAAAAGCCACAAAGCTTCTGTGAGAATGTCCAATGGACAGATGAGGCACATCAGCTCTATGTTCACAGAAGGAAACATTAAAGGGACTTTACGGACTTTAGAATTTTTATGCTCGCGATTGCCCCCTCAGGCCAAAAGCGTAACAGCAGCTTCAATAGTAGGCTCGTGCACGAGGCGCGCATGCTGTACGTGCACACTCCTTAACGAAAATAACAGCTGAGACAGTCCCGTGTGTGTGTGGTGTGTGTGTGTGTGTCCCAGAGGACAGGAGAACGTGCAGCTAATTAATTAAATAATTTGGTTCTGTACCTTTCTCTTCAGCACAGCCGACAAAGGTTTATGATGGGTCAGTCCTCCTGCATGCTCAGATCATTCCCTTCCCTTGCTTGAAAAATTGTTCCAAAATGAGAGTTGAACCCACATCTTTTTTATCTGTGAATTCAATGCCGTTCGACGAGTCTCAAATAAAAATTTGGGCATCTTACTGTAAAAAAATATACCGTTAATGTAAAAAAGAAACTCTAAATGAACTATGTTCACATCCAGAATCTAACCCAGGTCTTCTGCATGAGAGTCAGACATCTTACAAGGTGAGCTACACTCTAGTAACATTCACAGTATCTGTAACATTTATATCGTTGATGACAGCTGAAACAACGTCAAACCAAAGAACGGTTCGGAGTGAAAATGGCTATTTTGTTGCTAATTTGCAGGAAATATCTAGAAGAAAGTTCTACAGAAAGTAGCTAAGGGTCCTCAGAAATGTAGCTAGCTTTGTCACTAGGCGTTAGGAACAGCGACAAAGTGGCACTGCCTCTCTCTCTGCTGCTAAAGCTACGGATAGCAAATGCTACGGGCGATGCCTGAGCGTGAACGCGCATGAAGCAGCCTGCTCGACCCGAGCATCTCTCTTTTTCTGTGATTTTACAGAAAAAGAGGCAATCACAGTAAAAATGCCAGGGCTCATTCTACAGGACCAGGGCATTGCAGGAGAATGTATGAAGAAGACATTTATTAATTCTATACATGTTTTGGCTGTCACACTTCCATAATATCCCTTTAAGCATATCAAGAAAAGAACACTGTCCCTACTGTGAAACATGGAGGAGGCTCTGTTATGTTCTGGGTCTGCTTTGCTGCATCTGGCATAGGATGCCTTGAATCTGTGCAGGGTACGATTAAATCTCAAGACTATGAGGAGATTCTAGAGAGAAATGTGCTGGCCAGTAACGTAGTCTCAGTCGCAGTTACAGGAATCAAATGATTGTCTCGAAATGTTGTGTAACAACATATTATGTTAGAGGTACCATCATTTTTGCCCAGGCCTTTTCCATGAGTTGGAGCATGGCTCAAAAGCAATGGCTGACTTTCACTGGTTTAATTTTATAGAATTTTTATTTATCATGACTTGGTCAGATTCAAGTTATTCCTGTGACTATTCTGGGGTTTTCTTTCATTGACCTAAGGGTACCAACAATTTTGTTCACGTCTGTAAACAACACGATGGAAACACCTGAGGTCAGATATACTGAACTGGTAAAGACCTGCAGTCTGGCCATCGGGAGCACTGGGAAATGGGCCTGCCCACCCAACCGACAGCATTGGAGCAAATTATTTTATACTATGTTACGGTAATTCGAGAGAAATCTGAATGTAGGCAGTTTAGAGGTGTTGCAGAATCGCAACTCGTTTGGCCACCAAATCAGATTCACTGCATTTAGGCCTAGTCCACACGTAGCCAGGTTTTTTAAAAAACGAATATCCGCCCCTCCAAAAACTTGCATCCACACCACCGCGTTTTAAAAACAAACTCTGTCCACACGTACCCAGATAAATACGTAGTTAAGGACATGCCAGACCTGTAGGCGGCAGTACTTCCCCCGTTCTTAACCTCGTCCTTCGTCTGTGGTCTTCCGCAAGGAGCAGTAATTCCGCTTGCAAAAACAAACAAGCAGAAAGCTCTTGGACAATTGATAAAGCGAGCGCAGCTCTGAGGGCGTCCATGCTGTCGGCTAGTGTAAACACATGTCGCACACGTGATGTCAGCATTTTTTTGTGGCGGAAAGTGACGTTGCGGCCCTTAAAACTCCGGTTTTGTCCGTCCACACGCAGACACCCAAAACGGAGAAAACGCAGATCTTCACTTTGGCCGGAGTTTTAAAAAGATCCGTTTTCGTGTGGACGACAGGCCAAAACGTAGAAAAATATCTACGTTTTGGCAGATCCCTGGCTACGTGTGGACAGGGCCTTAGTTCATGCCATCATTAAAAACAAATAAAAAGCAGCTACCTGCTCATTTTAAAGCTAAATGAGGGCTTCAATGCACTCTGGCTATATATGCAGTCTTAGCTGTATTGAGACTAAAGATCAACTTATTTTAAATGGAATGCAGCCTTTGTTGTGCCTTCCTTCCCCCTGTAAGTCTAACTCCCTGCTAACACTCCCCATGGCACCATTTCAGCAGGCTTACCTTGTCCAGGATGTGGACGATGTCTCCCTCCTTGAGGCTCAGCTCATCCTCGTTCTTGGCCTCATAAGCAAATGTGACCTTACAGAAGTCTTTTGCTGAAGAAACCAAAAGGCTGGCATCTGTCAGGGTCAGAACAGCTTCTTAAGACTTTGGATGAAGCAGAAAGACGTCACACGGAAACCTCGTGTAGACATTTAGACTTCGGTCAACACAAGAGTCAACACAATAACTTTGGGAAGTTTTATGGGAATACTGTCTCACACTCTGCCTACCATCAGAGCTGGTGTGTGTGTGTGTGTGTGTGTGTGTGAGATTCATTCTCTCTTCAGATCCATCATCTATCAGGGATTTTGGGGCTGAAAAAACGAACGCAGCAGCAAATCCTCACTGAAATCATTCAGTGTGAGATTCACGCCGGGGACACACCGGCCACGAAAGCGCCGCGAAAATGGGACCGCCTTCATTCGGCGCCCTTGTTAAGCTATTCTATAGACCACATGGGCCGCCGAAGCGCCGCGAATCGCCTCGCGTCGGCACGCGCCGGCGCTCCAGCCCGAGCCGTGCAGCGATCGTTTCGGCGTCGGCTCTATTTTTTTCGCGAGCCGCAGGTGAATCGCGTCAATTCTGGCAGGAAGGCAAACTTAGACATAAGAGGCAGGCCGGTAAAGTTAACAAAATAAAGCATTTCAAAATAAAATTCCGCAATAGTCAAATGTGTTCGTAATCAGACACTGCAGAAAAACCACACGAACACACACACACATCGAACTTGTGTGCGTGTGTGACCGCGTGAAGGGGGTGTGGTTTTGGGTGTCTTTTCACCGGAGCAAACAGGACAGAGAGACAGAACGTCTGAGGCAAGCAGTGAAGATGGATGACTTTAAATTAATTATGGAAGTTGAGAAACACAAGGAGCTGTACGACCCCCGAAAAACATGATTATTCACGTACCCACGTCGGAAGAAACTGCTAGGATACAGCTGCAGAATTGGAGCGGGTTCCAAGAGATTCAACTGGCAGAAACAACTGGTTCATACACACACACACACACACACACACACACACACACACACACACACACACACACACACACACACACACACACACACACACACACACACACACACACACACACACACACACAAGTACAAACACACAAACGTAGAGGAAAAGAGCTGAGAAAAGGCAGAGAGGAAATGGAGGACACCAAGTGTTTAAAAGAAAAACTACAGCTGAGCCGAGGCGCGCCTCGACTGGGTCGCGTCTGATCTGAACTGAGGAGAGGCCGAATTTCGTGAGCGATTCGCTTCTCGGCGCTTCCGCGGCCGGTGTGTCCCCGGCGTCAGATGGATGTTGGAATAATTCATCCTCCAACTTCAGCTGGACGACTGCGACGGACTGTGCAGGGCTCCAACCTGCAACCCTCTGGTTACGAGTGCTTAACTCCTCTGTCGCCAGTTTGCAATAATGAGACGAAGCCTGTGATCTGTTTGGATAAACTGTCCCCCTAGGCTGGTCTTCTACAGACACTCACATACACTGATGTTAACAAGCAACAGTTCTGGTCTGCCATCTGCAGGTTCGAACCACAAATGTCCTCAACTTCAGACTTTATTATGCTAAAAGACATCATTAGTCTCAGGACTAACCAGGTTTTGCGGAGCAACTTTGTCCACTCGACAGGCTTTTCCCCACGTTTTACGTTTGGAGACAAATCTTTCCCACTTTATTTTCCCAGGCCTCAATTTTAAAATTTCACTTGAATCTAATCTGACTTTGGCGTTGTAGAGTCCTTTCAGAGCATAAATCTGAGCAACCTCATGGGAACTGTTGCACATAAAAAAACTTCAGATTAACACAAAGTGTGATTGATATGTTACTGCTCCAGTTCACCTTTGTGTTTGCCATCTCCCTCCTCCTTCTGTGGGTCAGCCATGTGGGGATGAGCGGGCTTTGCAGCCGATGATGACGATGAGGCTTGCTAAAATGAAGCAAACCATACAGATGGGAGGGGTTTATCGGACATGAATGAAAATGTGGACATGTTTGCACAAAGGACTCTGCTCTAAAATCAGAACATCAGAGCTAAAAATGTGTGGAATGTCGTCTCATGGGATGCCAGATAAATGTTGATGAAAACAATTAAGGATTAAAACACATGGAAGAGAGCAGAATGAAAACCTGAAACCAACCAAAACACTAGGAGGAGTCCTGCTTTCATCTGCTAACCACTGCTTTGAGTTTGCAGCAGGTAGAAAACCTTTCTAAAAGCTGCTCCGAGTGACACGAGGAGACGTGGTGAGAGAGCGTGCCACATGTGGAGGTGTGTGAGGAGCGAAGGAAAGTGACGGGAGCAGAGTTAGTGGTGGAACTGTGTGACGCTGCTGTGAGGAGGCGACAAGGAGAAAAGGGAGAGTATCAGAACAAAGTTAGACTCTAAACTAAAGCTGGCTCATCTGTTCATTTTAACTGGCATCATAAATGACACAGAGAGAGAGAGTGGATTATCCGTAATGTCCATGAATCGTCATGCGAGAGCTGGGCGCAGAAACCCCCTCCATGGAGCTAACCAGGCCCCCTCTGCTCCTGGGGAAAGCCTTCAGCTCACCAGCTCTGCATCCCCGACATCTCCACCAAAATGTTAGTTTATTAAATGTGGGGTAATGTTTAATCTCCATAACCCGGGAACCTGAAATAACCAGGGTATCTGCAGGTTTAAGGGAGCCAAATTTAAGACTTTTTAAGACCTTTTTTAAGGCCACTTTGACCAAATTTAAGCAATTTTTTAAAATTACATTTAAGCTATAATTTCCAGCTATTGCCTGGAACCGGTGCTAACCACGTCGCGAGCATGGGATTAGCCATCCAGTTACCATTAAAGTTGCACTTCCCCATGGCGCAAGTTCCCGCTAGCTAAACCAGCTAATGTGCTCATCTAAAAATATCCCCCTTTCACAACCAACTGAATGTGTACGGTTCTGCTTACGCCAACATCGTACACAAAAAATGCTGAACACTGACTAGAAATTCACAAAATTTTTATAGAAATAAATGAATCTTGTTTATTGGGTCTTTGGTAATTTAAGACCTTCGGAAACTCTATTTAACAGGGTATCTGCAGGTTTAAGGGAGCAAGACTTTTTAAGACCTTTTTTAAGGCCACTTTGACCAAATTTAAGCAATTTTTTTAAATTAAATTTAAGCTATAATTTCCAGCTATTGCCTGGAACCGGTGCTAACCACGTCGGAAACGTGGGATTATCCACCCAGTTACCATTAAACTTGCACTTCCCCATGGCACAAGCTCCCACTAGCTTAACCAGCTAATGTGCTCATCTAAAAATAGCCCCCTTTCACAACCAACTGAATGTGTATGGTTCCGCTTACGCCAACATCGTACACAAAAAATGCTGAAGACTAACTAGAAATTCTTGTTCATTGGGTCTTTGGTAATTTAAGAACTTTGGAAACTGTATTTAAGGATTATTTGTAATTTCTAAGGATTTTTAAGGCCTTAAATTTAGAAAAGCAAATTTAAGACTTTTTAAGGACCCGCAGATACCCTGAATAACACTCTTGACAACATGGAAGACATTTTACCCTGAGTCCCCAAAATAAAGGAGAGTTAACGCAGAGGAACCTCCTCCGAGGCTTTCCCCCCGTCACTCCCAAGCATGGACGTAATTTTCACTTTAGAAGTGGGGGGGACACGGGGGGGGGGGGGGGGGGGGATCTTTACAGTATGTTCTAATGGGAAACAGGCTTCAACACAAACGGTTGTTTTCTGCTTGGTCCTAGAGCTCAACCAGTGTCAATTTAATATAGCGTAATATTGTTTTTGGATGGTAAAAGGTGCAGGGGTCAAAACTTGACTTTGGAAAAAGTGTGTGTGTGTGGGGGGGGGGGGCATGTCCCCCCTGTCCCCCCCCAAAATTACGTCCATGCTCCCAAGTCTCCTCAGTTCCCCAGGGGCTTTATTCAGCAAAGGATGGAGGAGAAGACGGGGCCTTCTCAGGTTACAGAGGTACAGAGGTTTACTTGGAAATCCACAATCAACATCCTTGACTGCAAACGAGCTTCTCTGCTCAACCTTTCAGGAACAGCCACCGTTGGCAAACACAGAGATTCATGAAGTGTTAATAACACAAAATGGGAATCTTTTAGGCCTCAAAAAGGTACAATCATAAAAATACCCAACATTAACAAAAACCTGTTTTCACACAGAAAAAACGTCCAAATTTGTAATTTAAGCACTTTAAACTTCCTTAGATACATTTCCAGATACTGACGATAAAAACTGGTTTCTGTTTAGACTTGATAATGACGAGACCGAGCTTTTCCTCTTCCTCATGAAGCAGCAACAGTGCTGCAGACACAGCTAGCTGACCAGAACACAACGCTGCTACTGCTGTTTCCAACAGAAACAAACCACTGATGAACACCATTTCTGAACATTGTTGTCTCTGAATAACAGCTGGTTTTTCATCAGTACACCAATCACACACACCAACGGCGTTTATATGGAACAGACTGTTGATGACAAGGCTCCGACTCCTCTACTCCAAATTAGATCTTAAACTGCTATTTTACTTGTTTCTTCAGCCACATAATTTAGACAGAAACGCTGAAACAGCTCTGTACCTTTCATCCACACAGAGGCAATGAAACCGTGTTCTTAAAAATCCCACCAACAACTCTGAGTGGACAGGACGTGCGGAGAAATAAATGATCTGATGAAACGTTGATGTCACGTTCTCTACAGCACTTCTTTTTGGGTACTGAAGTCCATTTTTCTAAACACAGGAGTCACTTTCTCACTACCGTACCACGAGTTGCACGGCTGTTGCCAGTTACCGATCAGCACCAGAAGATTCTAGATGTCGAGTTAAGACGAGTCATACATAGTAAGTTGATAAATGGTAAAATGGTGAATGGCCTGTATTTGATATAGCGCCTTCTAGAGGTCTTGAAACCCCCCAAGGCGCTTTACAACACAATCAGTCATTCACCCATTCACACACACACATTCACACACTGGTGGGGATGAGCTACGATGTAGCCACAGCTGCCCTGGGGCGCACTGACAGAGGCGAGGCTGCCGAGTACAGGCGCCACCGGTCTCTCCGACCACCACCAGCAGGCAAGGTGGGTTTAGTGTCTTGCCCAAGGACACAACGACAGCGACAGACTGAGGCCTAGTCCACACGTAGCCGGGGTTTTTTAAAAACGAATATCCGCCCCTCCAAAAACTTGCATCCACACCACCTCGTTTAAAAAAAAACTGTCCACACGTACCCGGATAAATACGTTGTTGAGGACATGCCAGACCTGTAGGCGGCAGTACTTCCCCCGTTCTTAACCTCGTCCTTCGTCTGTGGTCTTCCACAAGGAGCAGTAATTCCGCTTGCAAAAACAAACAAGCAGAAAGCGCTTGGACGATTGATAAAGCGAGCGCAGCTCTGAGGGCATCCATGCTGTCGGCTAGTGTAAACACAGGTCGCACACGTGATGTCAGCATTTTTTGTCGCGGAAAGTGACGTTGCGGACCTTAAAACTCCGGTTTTGTCCGTCCACACGCAGACACCCAAAACGGAGAAAACGCTGATCTTCACTTTGGCCGGAGTTTTAAAAAAGATCCGTTTTCGTGTGAAAAAACTCCGTTTTCGTGTGGATGACAGGCCAAAACGTAGAAAAATATCTACGTTTTGGCAGATCCCCGGCTACGTGTGGACAGGGCCTGAGTGGGGCTCGAACCTGCAACCTTCCGATTACGGGGCGAGCTCTTAACTCCTGTGCCACCATCGCCCTGATAAGTAAACGTCAAGTTGTTGGTCACTGAAAAAGTAGCTTGAGATAATTTAGAGCTGCCATTTTGTTTCTCATTGACCGTTGGCATTGTTAGCTCAACGTTGCCTCTAGCCTGCTTCAGCCAATAATGGAGTAAAACAAAAAGTAGCCGTGACTTCTTGGGTGTACAGGAAATAACTTCTGGGTCGCTACTGGTTACTTTGGTTCTTTACAAACGCTGCACTTTGCCAGCAGGTGTCAAATTACAAAAACAACGCAGACTGTGCACCTTCATGAGCCCACAGACTGGAAAACAAAACCAGGTCCCTCTGGATTTTTGAAGGGAGGAAAACAGACAACCCCACAGGCGGCTGAGAAGGAAAATGGTTTCAATGTAACCTTCCTTACAATATTAAAATCACAGTACAATTCTTACATGTTTCACTTTTTAAAACAGCTTTGGTGGTTTACAAATGTAGCCAAAGACTGAATTTCCCCACTCTGGGATCAAAAAAGTCTATTTTATTCTATTCTAAAACACGGAAGCGTGCCCTTGGAAACTGTGGTCGGGCCGAACCACACTGTCATGAACTCCTCCTCTTAACCTCCTCTGCGGGCCTGGCTGGCACTGCACTCCAGTTCCCAGCATCCCTGTCACCGACGCTTCCCGGTGACGTCATCCCGCTGAGCCTATTTAAGGACCTGTCACAGCTGAGCCGGCACTCAGTCATCATCTCACGATAGACGCCAACCCATTCTAAAACGACTAAGCCTAATCTGCCGACTCTAAAGACCATCCGGGAAGAGAACTTCCCACGCTGTAATCAGTCACGACCAAATACCAGTCTCTCCACGCCTGGGTCTCAAAGCCACACTCCAGCTCAGCCGATCGTACCTGACACACACCAGTCCAAGTTACTCCAAGTAGTGCCACTGGAAAATTACCGTAACTGGACAGTTTTAAAGGAATTTAGTGACCCGGCACTAATTTGTAGAAGAATGAAACTGGTTCTGACCCGTCTAAAGAACCATCTGTAGCACTAACACTACTCTAGCACTGAAACCTTCGTGGTGGAAAACCCCGATAGGGCAACGTCTTCATTGGAAATATTAGATCAATAAAGCTCTTGATGCCAACTATCCTACATTAATGCAACTGTTAACCAGGCAGACAGGCAACTGGCTGATTGTCAGATTAGCCATTTGTAAAAGGAAGCTAACAACTACAGATTAAAAAGAGCTAATATTAATGTGGCATGGGGTAGAATGTCAGACTCAATTAAACAAGTGATACTAACAGTTTAAATTATCTAAAAATGTTTTTCAGACAAGTAATAAAGAGATTTACTGTTAGTCATCGGTGTTTAGAAAAAGCACATGGAAAGCTAAAGCTAATTAGCTTTAGTGTTAAAAACACAGTGTGATGAGGGCTTGTCTTTACTTTTGCCGACATGTTTCGACGTCACCGCCGGATGTTAGTGGCCTCGCTTCCTTTTAACCGCGGACAGCAGAGGACAATATCACCCTCTGCTGCCCGCGCCCTCCGCTGATCAGTGTCCCATGAGTGGTCCAGCGTGGAGACTCCTTTGTCCCTGTTCGTGGTCCTAAGTCCACGCCTCCTTACTTCAACTGCTTCTTTGATCCACCTTTTACACTTTTGGTGTTCTGTGTTTATGATTCGCGTGTTATCCCAGCCCATTATATGAGGGCGACGTCGTCCTCTGCTGCCCGCGGATAAAGGAAGTGACGCCACCGACATTCGGCGATTACCCTGATGAAGATGGCGGTGATGTCGAAACATGTCGGCAGTACAAACGCAACAAAGATGTTAAAAACAATTATTGAGTTACATATCCATCAGCCCCGGGTTACGTCAGTAGCTAACAAAGAAATACGTGTGTGTGTGTGTGTGTGTGTGTGTGTGTGTGTGTGTGTGTAACACACCTCCAGAGGTGAAAACTGATAAATGCTGAATTTTGAACATGAATGTGACATAAATGAAGGCGTGTTCCCTTAAGCGATGAGACAATGCAAACGATCCCAGCATGCCCGTGACATGTTTGTTTTGACTGCACACGCACGCATGCACACACACACACACACACACACACACACACACACACACACACACACACACACACACACACACACACACACACACACACACACGCACACGCACACACACCTGAAAGAGCAGATGGAGGTGTTTCACATAGGCTTTACACATACTTGGTCTTTCTCTTCTTTTTGGGTGCTTTTTAGTTGGAATGACTGATTTTTGAAGATGTCTCCAAAGCCAATGCGTGGCACCTTTGTGGGCTGACAAATGGCACTGTTCCCTGACGCTGGTGAAGGAGACGTGGGAGTGGTGACTACCTTTGGTGGACTTCCATCTGGAAGAAGAAGCTAACCGTTAAGGGTGACATTTTACTAAAAGCAAGGCCTAGTTACAACATCTTTTCATATTACTCAAAGAATTTCCAAACAAACTTTTTAAATTGACACAGTTATGATCAAATTGCGTTTACGGAAACATTGCTGCTAAATAAGTGAGGGTACAGTGTGTTACTATAAGCCATAAAGGCAGCTCGACCGTTAAGACCAGAGTGTGTTCAGATTAGGTTTTTTAACAGGTAATCTTACCAAAAAACAAACTCACACACTAATGGTTGAAATAACTTGTCCCTTAATGGAACCATTCACCTGATTATGGATGACCTATTCCTGATTCAGTCAGAGATCAGCAATAAACCACTACCTCTGCCAGAGTATTTCTGCATTTGTTTTCATTACCCGTCACATTAACTGAGGGGCTATTGGGCTCTGCCTCCTCTCCTGCGATCTCCAGTTCTTCAACAAAGTTGGAAGGAAACAGTCCTGATTTGCCTTTCAAGCTGCCGCTCCACCAGCCCTCTTCAACCTGCAAACACAAGTCAAAGCCAGCGGTGGTTAAGGGTGGAAAACCTACGCCCATTCACTTCTCCACAAGCTCAGACTTGCTGCAGTTGCATAGAAACTCAAGGCTTTAAAACGGCACAAAAGACTCTAGAAAATAAACCTGTTGTCTTGTTCAACTTAAAAAGGGTCAGGGTTTGAAATACAGATTTTAAAACACAGCTAAAGCAGCGCCCCAAATGATAATCTTGATGCTTTTAGCAAGGAGGTGGGAGTGGAAACTGAAATCTATTCAGAGATTAGACTCAAACGCTCCAAGTACCTCTTCAACGATGTCTACGACGTCTCCAACTTTGAGCTCCAGTTCGTCTTCATTAAAAGGTTGATAGTCAAAAAGCACTTTGCACCGCCTTTTCTTTGGCTCTGTTAAAAGAAGAAACCAGTTACCAAACCAGCACAATGCTCATGAGCGCCTCTTAATGTTCAGATCAAATCAAAAGGTGTCCCAGGTTCCTCTTGAATACAGGGGGTGAGAACGGGGGGGGGGGGGGGGGGGGGGGGGGGGGCAGAAGCAGGACAGGTGAGAAGACAGTGAAGTAAATCCAGCATGTGGGAGGCCCCGCCCACATACGGCTATGAGACTGTTCTGCGATAACAAAAACTATAAAAACAGACATGCCCAGCTTGGCGTGCAAACAGGTGGAACAAGTATTTACCACGCTAAAGGGATAAGTGAAATTCCTGAGATTTAAAAACAAAAAACAATCAGACGTGAATTTCTTTTGGCTGTGCAATTAACCCTTTGATGCAATGGTCACTACAGTGGACAGGTACTCAAAATTGTTATTTCTTTATTTTTGCTATTAAGCACAGCTGTTGAAGACTTTATTGCATGTGAGCCCCTCCATTTGGACTTCAGTAACTCAAGCAAACATATTTCATGTTCAGAATACACGCTGTCCACTGAGGTGGACATGTAATAAATGATTTGTAAATTAACAAAATGTTTTAAAAAATATGTGTTGAAATTAGTTTCATTGACACCTAAAAATGAATGAGAAAAATTGTTTAAAAATCATGGCTGAAGATCTCATAATTCATGCATCAGAGGGTTAATCACATCTGTATTTAAATTTTGATTTCAAATGATCACAAAAATAAATGGCAAAATGATTTTGTCGCATTTCACTATGTGAGAATGGTTTAATTCCTTGTTTGTTTGCTTATGCTGCTCTGAACAGCCAACACAAGTAATGATGACGGAGCAGTTTAGGAATGATAATGTCCTTCAGTCTTAAAACATCTTGGATTTGAGGAACTGTTCCATGGATTTCACATATGATGTGTGTTGATTCTAAAAACACGTTCAGAAGCCAATAAAGCGCTTATTTTCAAATGGGTGCAAACGTTATTTTTTAGGTCTTGTGTTAAAATATGTCCAGGACTACAAATGTGCATCACAAAAATTGGCGTCGCTGAACCAGAAAAGGGGGAGGCACCTGGCTGCAGACCTCCACTGTCAGGCTGCTTCCGGTGGAGGCTCCACTGTCAGGACGGTCGGGACGGGAAATGCACGGCATGCATTACAAAATAAAACGGCAAACATACTTACACTTGTAGTTGATAGATTTTACATTATATTTTATATTGAAACCTATCAATTATTTCTCTGTAGTTCATATGTAGTTGTCATTTAACATAGTTACGTTGAACATTTTCAAAATGAATTAACTAATGGCCGGAATAGCTTTCAACGTAAAACGCTAACATGCGCTAACATACTTGCCGTCGTCATATTTCTAAATAAAATCCCGAATGCTGTTTTGGTTTAATCGCTCTCCTCACAAACACATTCATTTTTTATCAGAATGTCACTGGAAACTACGCAAGGCAGTTTCTGTTGAATGCTTTTTATGAAAACCAGACTGGAATTCATCAAAACTGTTGTGTAGTTCCATAAAAATAATTAGTTGTTCAGCCCCAACTTTTTCTAAAATTTTAGAAATAATGGGCAATTTAGAAACGTGTCTAATGTTTAGGCCAAGAGGAGTCCAAACTAGGTTTTACAAGTATAGGTACAGGGTACAGAGCATCATATGCGAATTGCTTCTGAAGTCCTAGAATCCCCTAAGGTGCTTTACAATGCAACAGTATTTCCTACAACACATTTACACGCAGATGGTGTTGAGCCACAGCTGCCTTGGGGCTCACTGAGAGAGGGGCTGCCATAGACTAGTCGTCCCCGGTCTTGGCCACGGACACATGAACTGAGCGGCGCGTAGGGCTGGGCAATATCGAAAATTTATCTTTATCGAAATTTGTGACTCTTTTATCGAGAAAAAATTTCCCATGCCAATAAATTTGATAATAAAAAGATGTGTGTAGATGGGCAGCGTTCATGTCCCTTTAAAAAGCTGTACCGCATTGAGTCAGGAAAAAATGTGACTCAATGTAATATGTGTAACAGCCCCATCTAGTGGACAACTTTTGTTTCTGAGCATACCTGTAGTTATCGTCCATTTATCGTTATCGAGGTGAAATCCTCAATATATTGTGATATTGATTTTAGGTTATATCGCCCAGCCCTAGCGAAGCGTGAACCTGCATCCCTCCGGTTATAGAGTAAGAATTTCACTCCTCTGTCACCATTTCCCTTAGTGCACAGGGCCTTAAAAGAAACAAACCAGAGCTCAGTGAAATATGATAAGTCCTCGAGTAACTACCAGGAGCAAAAGGAACATAGTGGAAATGTGCCATAAAATCCCTTTCCGAAAAAGGTTTCTTAATACCTAATGCCAAACTAATGCTATGCATGCCCTTCATGCAGATTTATATTACATTACAATTACATTGTAATTGTTTTTCATGATGTGTATGCAATAAAATTATTTGTACTGTTGTAACTGTTTTGCTGCCTCTTGGCCAGGACTCCCTTGTAAAAGAGGTTTTCAATCTCAATGGGACCATTGCTGGTTAAATAAGGTTTAAATAAATCAAATCAAATAAAAAATTGAACAGAAATGCCCGTATCTTACTGTTGGACGCTGCTGGTGGAACAGGTTGAAAGCCACCAGTTGGAAGGATGGTGCTCATCCTGTTGACCAGGTTTGCGACATTTCCAGACTTCCTCTTGGAAGGTGCAGCAGTCGGGTTTGGCTCAGTTTTTGTTTCCTTTTTAACTTCCTAAGAAAGATTGAAAATAGAAAAGGAAACAATGTTAAAGCTAAGGTAGAGCTGGGAAATATCCTGATATTTTTATAATAATGATATAATTTCAAACAAGATTACTCAGTAACATTTATATCGTTCCATGTCCCTCCGTAGGGTGGCCGGGCTCAGCCTTAGAGATAGGGTGAGGAGCTCGGACATTCGGGAGGGACTCGGAGTAGAACCGCTGCTCCTCCGGATCGAAAGGAGCCAGTTGAGGTGGTTTGGGCATCTGGTCAGGATGCCTCCTGGACGCCTCCCCGGGGAGGTGTTTCGGGCATGTCCTGCCGGCAGAAGGCCCCCGGGTCGACCCAGGACACGTTGGAGAAGTTACATCTCCAATCTGGTCCGGGAACGCCTTGGGGTCCTGCCGGAGGAGCTGGTGGACAAGGCCGGGGAGAGGACGGCCTGGAGCTCCCTAGTTGGGATGCTGCCCCCGCGACCCGGACCCGGATAAGCGGAGGAAGACGACGACGACGACGACATTTATATCGATAAAAATATACAACCAGTGAATTTCTAGAGTTAGCAGACGCAGCTACTGCTAGCTTGCTCCTTCTCCAAGTGGTCATTAAATGTATTCTCACACGTCTCCTCAATCAGGAAACCTCAGGGTCTATGTTCTGCCCTATTCTCTGCATTTGGCTTTGTGGTTTTTAATTATTTGGGGACATGTGTTCGTATTTCAGTGAGCCTTTACACGGTGGCTCCCGTCCTGATGGTTATTTTTATCCTGTTTGTGTGGAGAAGCGAGCCAAACCCCCTCTCCTTCCAGCAGGTGAAAGAAAATGTTAGTTTTCATTGTTTTGTTATGCTTAGATACTGCTCCGTTACGAGCTACTCTGTTGAAAAAGTCTGTAAGGCCTGGGGTATGACAGACAGCAACCAGAGAGTCCAAGATATTACAGTATGATCACTGATAGGAGTAACTTTAATAACTTTTTTTTACTCTGCTGATGAATTTAGGTACAGTGATCCCTCGTTTATCGCGGTAGGACTGGCCGCGATAGGTGAAAATCCGCGAAGTAGGGACACCATATTTACAGTACAGTACTATATTGAATTATCGTATGATCACATTCTCTTTTTGTGGGTAAAACTCAAGAAAAAAATTTTTTACTTGGTTTTTTTATAGTTTTACTACAAAAAGTGCATTTTATGATGAAATTGATGAAAAAAACAGGAATTTCTTGGTATTTCGCATAGAAAAATACCGCGAATCGGTGAAAAATACTGCGAATCGGCGAATTTCCCTTAAATAAGGCTCCAAAGAAAAAATCCGCGAAGTCGTGAATCCGCGATAAACGAACCGCGAAGTAGCGAGGGATCACTGTATACAATTTCTCAGGGCGGCTTGAGGGGAGTTCATTTGTGCACATTTTACAGGAGGAAAAACGTGGAGATATTGCAATTTGGAATTTAGCTAAGAGATAACAAGATATAAGCTTTGGTCCATATTAGGGATGCAGATATTTGTCACTTTACCTTGCGGAGGTAACAATCAACTCAAGATTTCCGTCAGCACATCCGAGCATTATCACTGCATCTCACCGCTGACAGTGCGCAAGTGGTGCGCTGATGAGGAGCTCGGAGCGCATCTGTGACGCACTCGACACTGTGTACAAGAGTGCAATGTCGAACGCGTTGGAAAGTGGAAACTTTTCTATCTTTCAGAGAGTCTGGTTGACTTCTGGTTATTTCTGTAGGAGAAATGTTTCCTGATTTTAAACTTTTGGCTGAAGCAGCGGTTGCTCTTCATCACCTGCTTCGAAACCAGTGTGGCAGCGGAGCGTGGATTCATTAACAACATTTAACAATCATGACTCTGGCTGAGGAAAAAGTCCAGAACCTCTGGGCCTCTTTAGCAAGCTCCGTAGACACATTTGATTACACACAAGCAGGTGACCAGCTCAGGTTTACGAGGAGCAGAAGGAAGGTGTGCTCTTGCCATAGCAGGTGAAATGTTACTAATTTAAGTGAAATCGCACTGTGTATATGTTACTGGGGCACTCTGATCAACGTGTTTGGAGTAAATATTAAAAATGAATGAAAATTTAAGTTGAATGTGTGTCACTATTTTCTTTTTTATTTTTTTATTATTTTTTTTTTACCGTGTCCTGTCTGGCTGCGAAGCAAGCAGAATTGATGTCTGAATGCTGGTGACAAGCCTTACAGATTTACTCTCAGGTGGAGCATCAAAGCGTTTGCTTTTAATGTCACGCCTGATACTTAAAACTTTATTGTTATTGTTGTTGAATGCTTTGTAATTCCGACCAGACACGGAGACAGAGGTGAAAGAGAAAGGAAGAGAAAAGGTGGAGAGAGAGGAGGGGGGGGGGGTTCCACAAAAATAAACAATGAACAAGAGTCTGCTTCTAAACCTGCAGAAAGACAAAAAAAAAAAACAAAAGGACACAAAAAAGGGACACAACAACAATACAACAAGATCTACCTATCACTGCGTCAACTTGATGAAAAAAAAAAACAAAAAAACAATATATATATATATATATATATATATAATCAGCATTGCTTAACTGAAGAATCACGATAATAAATCACAACGCATTAAGTGCCCCCCATAGTCTTAAGACATGTGTTTAACGTGCCCAAGCCCATACTTTTGAGAGCACCATGTGAGCACCTGTGTGTGTACACGCGCTTGTTTATGTAAGGTTTCTCTATAGGAGCGTCCAACAGAGAGTGTGAGGGACCACAGATCCGCCCCCCAAAGATGCGCAGGAGACGGGGGGAGCTCCAAGTCCCAGAGATCCAGGCGTTGCCCCAGAATGCAGGAACCCCAAGGAGACTGCAACCAGAAAGGCCCCCGCCCCCCCCCCCCCGAGAGGCACAGAGGATCGCCCCGGGGGGCCACAACCAGCAGCCGGCAGAGTCCCTGGAGATACAGGCGGCAAGCCCACAGGCCCGCCCGCAGCCTCCCACCCCCTAGCCGGCCGAGCCCGGGACCCAGCGACCCGGGACCCAGGGGTGACCACCCCCGCCGGGGACCCAGCAGAGCCCAGGGACCCAGACCCCACCAGGCAGCCACCGGGATCTATCAGGCAGATGCCAAAATCTTAAACCCCCAGACCCGGTTGCCACGAACACTCAGGCAGACCATGGCACAAGCCCCCACACCAGGTGTGGCAGGGGGAGGGGGGACAAAGATCTATATCATCAAGAGAAGTTCCAGGAGAGGGGAGGAGTCAAAGGCCCCACCTGACATATACAGTCATACACAAACACAGTCATACACTCCCTCCCTCATGCTCACACATGCACACACAACCCAAGACTTACAAAAATGCACGCCGGACACCCACTCATGCTCCCCATACACACCCTATTAACTCTGGTCCCGGTACTGCTGCACATTGGGTACAACCATCACCGGTAACCAGAGTTTGACCCTTTCTGCTGGGGTGATGATGAGCAGGCTCCCCCGCCCAACGCTGAGCACAGCAACCCACCACCCCAGACCCCAACCAGACGGCCAGATCTCCCTCCTAGCCTCCAGCCCCAGGAAGCCAAGCAACAACAGAGGTGGCTAAGACCCCTAGTCTCCCTCCGCCTGCTCCAATATAGTGTTGTGTGATCATGAGGTGTATTCCATGGCTGTGGTGAGCGGGCAGTGCGGGCATCATCCGGCATACGCCAGCTGATGCCACCGCACCACCCCACTTACACCCTCAGCCATCAGTGTCTAAGTGCGGTTTAAAATTGGAAGTGGGCACCTGCACTCGGGAGGAGGCTGAAATATCCCCTTGCCAAATGCCATTGAATGTGCTCACTCCCAAGGCCCTAAGTGTGTGTTTGTGTGGAATGTCGTCAGTGGAAGTGTATAAGGTGCAAATAAAATTGGGAGGCAGGTTGCCACAGGAATGCGGAAATGGGATCCATACCCGCACTCCCTGACTTGCCCACCCCCCAAGGTCCTATGTGCATGTTTGTGTGATGATGTGAGGGAGCAGGAGGAGAGAAATATGCGGGGATGGGGAGGAATGGCTGGTTGGGCTTAGCCCTCCAGGGAGCCAGCTCCCCCACTGGCCCCAATAGGCACCTCTGTTGTCAAACTGCCACCCAGGGCATGGAGACCCCAGCCCATCCTGCCAGGGCCCAAAGCAGCAGCATTACAGAGCCTCACGGAGTCCGAGGGCACCAACCCAGCCCCATCCCAGCAGAATATCTATGCCCACCCCTGCATTTGCACAACTTCCAGAATATATAAGACATGGGACATCCAGGTAAGGTTTGGTCCTCCCCGTCCTGGACCTCCCCCTCCCCTGTGATGGAACGGCAGAGGAGCCAAGGTCTACCTGATGCCCCCGAGCCCGGGCCAGGCACTGCTGAGTGTTCCTGCCTTCTTCCCGGCAGCATACATGTCAGGACCCGACCCCCAAGGCCCCGCCCAGATCCCCACACGGGGCCGGCCACCCCCAAACCCCGAGCCCCCAGGCCCCCACCCAGACCCGCCCAGGGGCATTGCAGCCGCCAGGCAGTGACCCATGGCCGCCGCCAAGATCCCCAAGGGGCCCCACTCACAACCGCCAGCAGTCCACCCCCCGAGGCAACCCAAGCACCTCCAGAGGGGGGCAACAGCCCCCCAGTCCCAGACACCCCCAGTGAACCCACCTCCAGGGAACATCCGGATACTCCAAACTCAGACCCCACACCCCCCCACCCACACCATCCCGCAGGACAACATCAATGGCCCCCCACCCTCGCTATGTGATGGAACCGATCAAAGGAGCCCAGAGAGATTGTGTCACTATTTTCAAAACAAAAGTGAAGTGAAATAGATGCGACCTCTGGCTGAGAGCAAATCCCCCCTCCTCAGAGTGTGTCCGAATTAGAGCCCTGCACTGAAGCTCTAGGCCTCGGGTCGGCCCGGCCCGACGGCCCGCGGGCCGGGCTTCGGGCCAACGACTGTGTAACTACCTCGGACATGGGCCGGGCGCCTTTAATTGTAATCGAATTCATGAAAAAAAAAAAAGAACTGAAACACTTGAACGCAGCAGCACCTGCCTGCTTCTCACACACCGTTAGCTCAGTTAAGGTCTGTGTGGTTTATAAATGCGCCGATATAAACGAATTCTCAAACTGCTGATTGAAACATGTGCCCCTATTCTAATAAGCCATTTTATGTCCACTTTGATATGTCAGAAACCGTTGGTTTATTCTCATGAAAACGGCAGAATTCTATTTTTCTGTGAATAAATTTGCTCTGCAGTTAAAAAAAAAAAAGCATTCATTGCTGTTTTTTTTTCTAATTGGAGAGCGACTTTTCAGAGTGGCAGATGAAATTTACAAACGCTATAATAATTGGGGGCGTTTATTTAATCTGCCGCTCTGAAAATGCGCTCTGCAGTTAGAAAATTAGAATGCTGCTTTTTTTCTAACTGCACAAGAGCGCTTTTTCAGAGCAGATTAAATTTACAAATGCATCCAATTAATGTAGTGTTCGTAAAGTTCATCTGCCGCTCGAAAAATACGCTCAGTTAGAAAAAAAGCTGCATTAAATGCTGTTTTTCTTTCTTTTCTTTTCTTTTTTTATATCTTTTTTTTACTGCAGAACGCTTCTCACAGATAGTTAGAACGCTGAGCATTCTATCACGCTAAAACATTATGAAAGGTTAAAAAAAAAAGTCGGGCTCGGGTCGGGCCAGAGAATCCTGAAAACCTTCTCGGACCGGGTCGAGCTGGGGCTCCACCCCCTCAGGCCGAGCCGGACACGGGCTCAGATTTTAGGCCCGTGCAGGGCTCTAGTCTGAATGCAGCAGCGACTCATTTCATTTCCTACACAAACTCATAAAAGCGTCACAATTTGTAAGTTGTTACTTTTAATTGTCAATAGAATATAAAGGTATTCAATAAAATATAATATTCTATAAAAATATGGATTATCAATATCATTGAACTTTTAATGTCTGATTGATTATGAAACTTGAGACTGAACCAACTTCAGATGTTGCTGGTGGGTTTTATATATTATTACATCACTGTTGTGCATTTTTCTGTAGAACCTGTCTTTCTGTTCTAAAGGTGTATTTATTTTTACTTACATGTAAATGTGTACATCCCTATAAAACATAAATGCTCTGAAACATTATCAACTGATATTTCTTTTTACCCTGTTTTGTATATTTAATATTTGGTCAGTTTATTGGTATTTTTTATTAATCATGTTATAATGTTTGATTTTGGCTAATTAAGATTCAACAGTTGGTTAAATCCAGTGTTTAAAAACATCCACAGCTGTTATAAGTGATTAATAATTAAGCATTCAGATAAGATGCCAAACATCGAGATATCGGCCATGAAATCGGCAGCACTTATCGGCCATCGGCTGACCACGACCGCCTCATATCGGTATCGGCAATAGAAAAACAAATATTGGCCGACCTCTAGATGTTATGTCTTCTTTAAAGGTCTAGAACATTGAAAAACTATTTTTAATTTTTATTTTTTGTTATTAATTATTTCTGATTATAATCAGTCACTCTTAGTGTTTCATGCAGGCTGAACAAGAAAATAGTCTCCTACATCTATCTCCTACATTAGCTTCTGATAGAAAACAGACGGTGAAACTCTAGGATCTCAAAATCCTGACAGATCTACGTCTTACTGCCACTTAACATTCATGGACTCTCCCATCTTGCCTCGTGACGAGAAAGGCTGTTGTTGGTTTAGCATCCAGGAAACAGCAGAGAACTTATCAGCTGATAGAAGCTAACTGTTAGCATGATCAAGTCCGTCACATCGCAGAAATCCTTCACGCTTGCGTTATTTGTGGGAATGAAACATCAGCGTTGCAAAGCAGAGTCAGTGGTAGTCACATTGCTGTTATCCAATCAGAGGAGAGATGTCCAAATATCAGGAAATAAGACTCCAAAGATCGAGGTGTTTCTCAATACCAAAGAACCTCACCTTGATTTTTTGGTCCCGTCCCAATTGCTTAGGAGATACGTCATCAGGAACCGCCAAGGCGTGCTCCAATGTTCATGTTCTACCGAGGCATCTGTTCTCTGTTTGTTAGCCGTTAAGCTAGCTGAGCAAGAATACACGGGAGGTATGTTGTGGCCTTGCTCAAAAATTTCCCAGAATACACCGCTGTATTTTCAAAAGGATGGCGAATCAGAAGCCGGCTGCTACTTCAGGGACACATTTCAAGTTTAAATGTAAGTCAATTAATTGTTGCTATCGGGCTGAGATGTGAAATGTTTTTTTATATATCCGAATCTATGGTTGGTTAGTTGCTTAGTAGTTGCAGCTTCGGTGGCTAGCAGGTAGTAACTCGCTTACATATTTAAATGAACATATTTATATTTACACAATTTAAAAAGTAAAGTCTGATCCATTTAACCATTTTCTTTGACCAGGAAGGACAGTGTTCTCGTAAGCAAGGCGCCTGGCCTTGGAACACATCGCCAGAAACACGCCCGCCATCTGAAGCCACTTTCTCCTCTAGCTGACTTGTACTTCCTGATTCAGAAGCACCATAGCCCCCCATATGACTTATAGGACATGCATACCTACTGCAAATGCATTGATACATGAGTGTTCAACACCTTCAAACAGATCAGATTCCACACAGACCCAAGTACAGCTAAAGGGAACGGTCGTAAAGCCTGATAACGTAAACCATGTTAGTCATTTATTTCAAATCTTAATTCTTCAACCAAACAGAAACTGATAGGTGCTCAATAGTTATCTTACCGTGTCCCCCTCAGACATGATTTCTATCTTATTCACTCATTCTCACAGGAAACAGCATGTCAGATGACTCTACTGTCAGGAGCAAAGTTCAACAACACACCTCACAGGACTCACTATCCCAGCTCAGCCACAGCAGCAGGCCGATTAGCAGATTACCTATCTCACTACAGAGGATTAAAGGATTGGAGAAACATGAGTGATGGGGGGGGGAAGACGACCGTGACTCATACCGAGTTACATCAAGAAGTTGGTGACTGACTCACAGACTTGTACTTGTGAAAACCTTTGAGCCACGCCTGCTACACTGGCAGACCTGGGACCTGGGAATGTCTCACGCAGGACATTTTTCATCCACGTAGGACAATGTCCGTTAACAGTGGGTGACCTCTAGTGGCCTCTGACCTTTACATATTATACATATTTTATTGTGGCAATGATCTGTTGAAATAATTTAAAGAACCATCAGTGTGATTATCTGAAAAATTCAGAAAATGAGGATTAAACAGTCCCTGTGCCCAGAAAACAAACCTACAGAATTTATCAGGAGATTATTAGAGATCACCATATAATTATAATTAATTACTATGAAACACCAGAATAGATATGATAATAAATGCTGTAATGGTTCATAAGGGTTATAGTCAGTGATGCTACTGTTCCTTTAAGGGTTAGGGTTTGGTGCTGAAGAGAGAAACTGAAAGTTGGAGATGCCGGTTTATCTCAGCTGTTTGTTAAACTACTCGAATGAACTGCTGTTGAGGACAAGCTGTCTTTTCTGTCTGGTGTTTTAGTTCACAAATATCACAATAATAAGAAATGCCCTTAAATGACCTCGTGTTTGTAAAACAGCTGCTTAAAGGGACTTTACGGACTTTTGAATTTGTGTGCTCGCGATTGCCCCCCTCAGGCCAAAAGCATAACGGCAGCTTCAATAGTAGGCTAATGCACGAGGCGCGCATGCTGTACGTGCACACTCCTTAACAAAAATAACAGCTGAGACAGTCGTGTGTGTGTGGGGGGGGGGGGGGGGGGGGGGGCAGAGGACAGGAGAACACGCAGCTAATTAATTAATTAATGTGGTTCTGTAGCTTTCTCTTCAGCACAGCCGACAAAGGTTTATGATGGGTCAGTCCTCCTGCATGCTCAGATCATTCCCTTCCCTTGCTTGAAAAATTGTTCCAAAATGAAAGTTGAACCCACATCTTTTTTATCTGTGAATTCAATGCCGTTCGGCGAGTCTCAAATAAAAATTTGGGCATCTTACTGTAAAAAAATATACCATTAATGTAAAAAAGAAACTCTAAATAAACTATGTTCACACCCAGAATCAAACCCAGGTCTTCTGCATGAGAGTCCGACGTCTTACTAGGTGAGCTAAAGCGCCAGTGATGTCCCTTGTATCTGTAACTTTTATATCCTTGATGACAGCTGAAACAACGTCAAACCAAAGAACGGTTCGGAGCGAAAATGGCTATTTTGTTGCTAATTTGCAGGAAATATCTAGAAGAAAGTTCTACAGAAAGAAGCTAAGGGTCCTCAGAAATGTAGCTAGCTTTGTCACTAGGCGTTAGGAACAGCGACAAAGTGGCACTGCCTCTCTCTCTGCTGCTAAAGCTACGGATAGCAAATGCTACGGGCGATGCCTGAGCGTGAACGCGCATGAAGCAGCCTGCTCGACCCGAGCATCTCTCTTTTTCTGTGATTTTAAAGAAAAATAGGCAATCACAGTAAAAATGCCAGGGCTCATTCTACAGGACCAGGGCATTGCAGGAGAACGTATGAAGAAGACATTTATTATTTCTACACATGTTTTGGCTGTCAAACTTCCATATTGTCCCTTTAAAGCTTCTGGTGTGCCGTGTGCAGATCTATTAGAATGCTCTGAAGAAGAGCTGATGCAGAGACCAGGGATGATCTCTGATGGATTATTGAAAATAATGTCTGTGTCACGGAATCAGAGCAAATTATCAACAGTTTATTTGATTTCGGCAACTTCAGAGAAGAGGCACGTCATATTGTGCAACAGTTTCAAGTTTTTCATCGGATAATTTTAAAACAAGTCGGTAATGTCCAACTGCCTGACGTGTTTGCATAAACACTGAAGTTACAGCACAGGGCTTCAGAAAGGTCTATAAAAGCTGCTACACTTTTTCCTGTCTGAAATCCTCTACTGTATTAGCCTGGCCTGCCAGACTCCTCCTCTGCTTAATTCTGCACAAAGAAAGAGTCTGGCAACTCTCCTATTCAAAAAGCCCCACCCCCTGAGAATTCTAACCGTGCCAATCAGCGCTGAGTAGCGTACGTCACACACCACAACGCCGAGTTTGTCATAAACATGGCGACTGAAGTGAAGTTCACTGCGGTTCTTTCCTCTGCTCTAAATGACTTGGACACTCTGTAAAACCACAAGTAGAAGCGCTAAAAGCCTTTCTTCTAAAAAAATAAATAAAAATAAAAAATAAGATGTTTGCGCCATTGCCAGACGCTATTTTTGACTACAGCTAAAAAACTACCACATTGCATGGTAGTCGGCATTTCGGTCTTTATTCCGATTTGTTATTTTTGAGCTGGCTAGTCCCGCCCCTCAAGTGCCTCTCTGCCTGTGAGTTACCAGACTCTTTCTCTGCGCAGAATTAAACAGAGGACGAGTCTGGCATGCCAGGCTACTAATGTATGGTAGATTAGGGCGAAAAAGTCTAATTTTCATGAATACTGATAAATTTGACCAAGAACAAGGGAAAACCAGTTCAAGTTCCCAAGACGTGGTGGTATCAAACATCTGTCTCTAAATCATTGGATCAAAAACATTCTGGTGTTCTTGTGAAATAAAGCACTTCACAAATTGTTTTTCTTGTGGGAGTAAAGTAGTCCTTCACCTACAAACTTAAAAGTTCCTAGAGTGTCTCATAGCCATTTTCTTATAACATGTTTTATCCTCAATCACACAAACAAAATTTACATTTTTTTATGTCCCCCCCCCCCCCCAATGTTCACAGCTCTCAGTTCACCAACAATAGACAATTACAATCAAATGCAACACCCTTACTACTTTTCCTCCTCCTCCATGTAATTAATTAGTATAATTTATTTATACTTCTCTTTAAACGTATGCAATGAGGGACTTTGCTTTAGATCCTCACGTAGCTTATACCAAACTCTTACACCTGTAGCAGAAATACAAAATGACTTTAATGTTGTTCTAAAATATGCATGCCTTAAGTTAAGTTTGCATCTGAAATTATATAGGTTATCTGGTTTTATAAATAGCATTAATAATTTGTTTGGTAATAATTTCCTATGCACTTTAAACATGAATGTTGCTGTATATAGTTGAAGTAAATCTTTAAATTTTAGTATTTTAGAATATATAAATAACGGATTACTGTGTTCTCTAAATCTAACATTGTGAACGACTCTCAGGGCTCTCTTCTGTATGATAGACAAGGGTACAATAGATGTTTTATAAGTGTTACCCCTAGGGCTGTCGCGATTGAGGAATTCCCCCTGCGGTGAGTCAGGGCAGCTCAATATTGCGATATGCGATATTATTGCACCTCGTTTTTATTTATGTACTTAGCAAATTTGTTTGTTAATTTCTAAACTCATGGCAATATTTCCTTTGAAACATTGTGCTTACACATTTAAAAAATGTTAGAAAAAAATACATGGCCATTTTTAACACTTTATTGAATGCAGATCAAAGGGCAGTAACGGCATTCTCTGACTGAACTTAAAAACAACATTCAGGAGGTTTAACTTTGAAATGCAAATTTGGCTGCACCATCTAACAGAAATAAAAAAAAGTGCCCTACTATCTCCTCAATCAGCGCGGACTTTACCTCTCCGCATGCGCTGTCGCGAGATTTAATCAAGTGCGGTAATTGCGGTGGCACATCATGCAGCGCGGTGGGCTTATTAATATCGCGATATATTGTTCTTGCGATTATTGTGACAGCCCTAGTTACCCCATACCTCTACACAGTAAATAAGATAGGGATAAATCAATGAATAATAAAGGACATGGAGTGATTTATAATCCAAGTACTGCCGATCTTTATTCATAATATAGATTCTTTCCGCAACCTTATTATATACATGTTTAATTTGTGGTTTCCAACTTAATTTATTATCCAAGGAACTTATGTTCTGTTACTTGCTCAATTTCACATCCGTCTATTTGCAGCTTAACCTCAGTTTTATTAGCCATACCAAACCGCATACATCTGGTTTTTGCTATATCTAATGTAAGCTTATTTTCAATAAACCACTCTTTAATGACGCACATTTCAATTTGGACCATCCTTTCTAAGTCGCTAATATTATCTCCTGCACAGAAAATAGTGGTATCATCGGCAAACAAAACAAATGTCAGTGTATTTGTTACATTACTCAAATCATTAATATATAATAAAAATAATTTTGGACCCAACACAGACCCCTGTGGTACTCCACAAACAATGTCCAACCATGAAGATGAACATTCTCCAAATTTCACAAACTGCCTCCTCTGTTGTAGACAGCTTGTCAACCAGCTCAACACTACACCCCTAACCCCATACCTCTCTACCTTTTCAAGTAACATTTTATGATTAACCGTATCAAAAGCCTTTTTTAAATCAATACATATCCCTAGAACATGTTTCTTCTGATCAATTGACGTTGTAATTTCTTCCAGACTGTACCAGAGCTAGTGATGTTGAACTATCCGATCTAAATCCATACTGACAGTCTGATATTATCTTGTATTTATTCAAAAATATTTCGAGTCGATTATTAAACAATTTTTCAAGAATCTTGGAAAATTGTGGAAGCAATGAAACTGGCCTATATTTCGTAAATTGATGCTTATCCCCAGTTTTATCTATTGGTATAACTTTTGCAACTTTTATTAATTTTGGGAATACACCTGATTGAAAAGACAAATTGCAAATATATGCAAGTGGTTTTGAAATTCCTTCTATCACCTTTTTTACCGTCATCATGTCAATGCCATGATTGTCAGTTGATGTTTTACCTTTACATGTTTTTACCATTTGTATTATTTCTTGTTCCTCTACAGCTGAAAGAAACATGGAATGAGGATTAGGTTTGATTTGTTTTAAGAATGGTGTATGCGGTGTTGAAGAGCTAGATATGTTTTCTGCCAATGCCGGCCCTATATTTACAAAGAATTTATTAAAGCTATCAGCCACATCACCATAATCATGTTTTACAATACTGTTTTCAACTAAATATTTAGGAAATGTATCATTACCTAAATTTGGTTGAACTACATTATTTAATATTTTCCACACTTCTCTAATATCATGTTTAGCATTATTCAAACTTTAATAATAATACTCCTTTTTACATATTCTTATTATATTGGTAAGCTTATTCTTATATATTTTATATTTATGTTCAGCTTCTGGAGTTTTTTTTATTTATAAACAACCTGTACAAATTAATTTTCTTTTTGCAGGCACACTTTATCCCCTTCGTCATCAATGGTTGATTATCCCTTTTGTTTGAGCTACTAAATTTTGTCAAGGGACAATTCTTATCGTCGTCGTCGTCGTCGTCTTCCTCCGCTTATCCGGGTCCGGGTCGCGGGGGCAGCATCCCAACTAGGGAGCTCCAGGCCGTCCTCTCCCCGGCCTTGTCCACCAGCTCCTCCGGCAGGACCCCAAGACGTTCCCGGACCAGATTGGAGATGTAACCTCTCCAACGTGTCCTGGGTCGACCCGGGGGCCTTCTGCCGGCAGGACATGCCCGAAACACCTCCCCGGGGAGGCGTCCAGGAGGCATCCTGACCAGATGCCCAAACCACCTCAACTGGCTCCTTTAGATCCGGAGGAGCAGCGGTTCTACTCCGAGTCCCTCCCGAATGTCTGAGCTCCTCACCCTATCTCTAAGGCTGAGCCCAGCCACCCTACGGAGGAAACTCATTTCGGCCGCTTGTATCCGCGATCTCGTTCTTTCGGTCATT